GGGGATGTGCAGGAGGCAGATAATCGATGTTTCTCTCTCATTGATGTTTCTAACTCTATTCCTCTCCCTTCCTCTCTGTAAAAAATCAATAATATATATATATATATTTTTTTAAAGTTGCAGCTGATATTTCTTCACATCTAAGGAAAAAAAAAGATTCTGTCATCGAAGTCAGCGCTGCACATTTATACAATAAAGAAATTAACTTTCTCTGACTTATTTCATGTAGCATCACACCCTCCAGGTCCATCCATGTTGTCACAAATGATGCCTTCATCCTTTTTCATGGCCAATTAATATTCCCCAATTCTGTAACTGTCTCATGTCTTCTTTATCTAGTCACCTACTGATGGACAATTAACTGGAATTGAAAAATTAAAAATGGAAAAAATTAAAATGCAAATAATATATATCCTATATAATAAAAGCCTAATATGCAAATCGACTGAACAGCGGAACAACCAGTCGCTATGACATGCACTGACCACCAGGGGGCAGGCGCTCAATGCAGGAGCTGCCCCCAGCCCACAGGCCCCAGGCCAGCCAAGGTGGGTGCCAGCAGGCCCCCACCCCCCCATCATTCTGCTAGTCGCCCCACAGATCAGCCCTGATCACCAGCCAGGCCTAGGAACCCTACCTGTGCATGAATTTCATGCACCGGGCCTCTAGTATATATATATATATATATATAGAGAGAGAGAGAGAGAGAGAGAGAGAGAGAGAGAGAGAGCTAAAGATGGCTATTATTTGTAAAAGAGAGCAGGAAGACTACGATACAGATCTCAACTTCAAGGAACTTCCATCAGATCTGGATCTGTGCTGTTCAGTACCGTACCTGTGACTGCTGCGCATCTGACAGGTGACCAGTCCCAGTTGAACTGTGCAATTTAGTCGACACAATAATTTATTTCATTCGCCAATTAGAGCAAGTTGTGTCATCTCCCCGGAGTCTGTTTCCCTTAACCACCACACAGGACCATCTGTTGGCGCTGAAACCACACCAGGTGTCAGACTGGGAGGGCCAGACCCGGCCTCCTCCGTTCAGCAACCTCGGTACTGGAGTTCTGGCTGGGAATGAATTCAGAGCCCTGGCCGGCGTGGCTCAGTTGATTGGACATCGTCCCGTGCAATGAAAAGTTGCCGGTTTGATTCCCGGTCAGGGTACAGGCACGCCTGGACTGTGGGCTCCATCCCCAGTGGGGGACGTGCAGGAGGCAGCACATCGATATTTCTATCTCTCTCTCTCCCTCTTCCTTCCTCCCTCCCTCTCTAAAATCAATAAAGATATATTTAAAACAACCCTATTTTAAAAAATATATATATTTTATTGATTTTTTGCAGACAGGAAGGGAGCAGGATAGAGAGTTAGAAACATTGATGAGAGACAAACATCGATCAGCTGCTTCCTGCACACCCTCTACTGGGGATGTGCCCGCAACCAAGGTACATGCCCTTGACCGGAATCGAACCTGGGACCCTTCAGTCCGCAGGCCGACGCTCTATCCACTGAGCCAAACCGACCAGGGCAAAAACAGCCCTATTTAAGAAGCTATTCTCTTTCTTTGAAATCTGCAGGAGCGGCCACACATTGGTCTATTCCCACAAGGACTCACCCAGGCAGGCAGCCATTTGTTTATGCATATATTTGGATAAGGATTAGCGATGTGTTCGAGAGAGCCTGCCTGGGTTCGAACTCCAGTTCTGCCCCTGACCAGCTGTGTGTGTGTGTGTGTGTGTGTGTGTGTGTGTGTGTGTGTCTCTTCATCGAGTTGTGCCTCAGTTTCCACATCCATGGCCAGGTGTCGGGGTGGCTGAGTTCTCTCTGGGCCATGATGAGTGGGAGGCATGGGGGACTTGAGAGCCCTGAGGGCTTCCTGGGGGAGTTGGCAAAGGAGCTCACAGCTGCGGGCCAGTCCCTGTTCCCCGAGCCTCCAGCTGCTAGTGGGAGTGGCTGTAGCCAGAGTCTGTGGGTCAGACAGAACCGCTGAGCAATCACTCCTCCTCCCCACTCCCTCAGTCCTAGGCAGCCACGGATCTGCTTCCTGTCCCAACGGAACAGGGGTTTGCCCATTTTGGATATTTCATATAAAGGGGATCCTACAGCCCGAGCCGGTTTGGCTCAGTGGATAGAGCGTTGGCCTGCGGACTGAAGGGTCCTGGGTTCTATTTCTGCCAAGGGCACATGCCCAGGTTGCGGGCTCAATCCCCAGTAGGGGGCCTGCAGGAGGCAGTGGATCCATGATTTTCTCATTATTGATGTTTCTCTCTCTCTCTCTCTCTCTCTCTCTCTCTCTCTCTCTCTCTCTCTCTCTCTCTCTCTCCCCTTTCCCTTCCTCTCTGAAATCAGTAAAAATATACTTTAAAAGCCCTAACCGGTTTGGCTCAGTGGATAGAGCGTTGGCCTGAGGACACAAGGGTCCCAGGTTCGATTCCGGTGAAGGGCATGTACCTTGGTTGCGGGCACATCCCCAGTAGGGGGTGTACAGGAGGCAGCTGATTGATGTTTCTCTCTCATCGATGTTTTTAACTCTCTAACCCTCTCCCTTCCTCTCTGTAAAAAATCAATAAAATATATTTTTTTAAAAAAAATATATATATATATTAAAAAAGAATCTCTAGGGTCAGGCTCAGGGACCTGAATTTAAAAAAAAAAAGAATTCAGTTAGAGCCCTGGTCGGGTAGCTTAGTCGATTAGAGCATCGTCCTGATACCGAAGTTGCCGGCTGGATCTCAGGTCAGGGCACATAGAAGAATCAACCAATGAATGCCTGCATACATGGAACAACAAATCTCTCTCTCTCTCTCTCTCTCTCTCTCTCTCTCTCTCTCTCTCTCTCTTTCAAATCAGTAAATAAAAAGTTAGAATCAGTCTTCCACAGAACCCTGGGTGGAAACCCTCTCCTGTCCCTTCCGTCACCTCTTGTGAAATCGCTTCCTTCCCCTCCCCCTCTCTTTCCCAGCTTCCCTCTGCCTGGGTCCTCCTGCCTCTGGCGTCCACCCTCCTGCCCTTTCCCTGCACTGCGTGGGGAGGGGCCCTCCCTGAGCCTTCGTCACGGGGCGGGGGGTGGGGGGGTGGGGGTGGGATTAGAACCCAGGTTCCAGATCACCTGGAGCCGTCAGCTGGAAGGGCTGGCTCGGAGAAGAGGGGAGAAGGCGCGGGGTGGGGTCTGTCCCCCAGAGCCTGCCTGGGCCGGTCCCCTGCTCCCCTTCCTCCCGGTAGCCCTGAAACTCAATTACATGCCATTGGAGTGAGGAAGCGCTTGTTAGGGGATTAGAGGGCGCCCCACCCCGTGCCTTCCTGGTCCCCTTCCCTCAACCAGGAAATGGAATGGGCTGGAACAAAGAGAGTTAAAAGCTGTGTCAGCTGCCAGTCTGGGGCAGACAGACAGGACAGACGGAAGGAGGGGGACTGGCGGGGCGGCATGACAGGTGGCTGAGAAGCCAGGTGGACGGGGGAGCACTGGCTGGCCGGCCGGTCGGCTGAGAGACAGATAACAGAGACACAGGCAGGCTGAGCCGGCCACAGCCACATGGAGGGCCTGGCAGGCAGAGGGACCAGGTGAGGAGGGGCCGGCAGCCACAGGTGAGGGGACAGGGGGAGGTGGGGAGAGAGGAAAGGGCATCCCCCGTGCATGGGGCTGACTTGGGGAGGATGAGCGGGGGAAGAGGGGGAGGACGTGGGCAGGGCCATTTCTGAGAATGCCCCCTTCTCCCCAGAACCTGGAGGTGGCCAGCCATGGGGCCCAGCTTCCTTGTGCTCCTGTGTGTTATTGGTGAGTCCCTCCCGCCCCCACGAGGGGACCCCGTCTCTCCTTCTCAGCTCTGGCCTCCATTCACCTCCAGCTCCCTGGGTCCTCTCACCTCCCCTGCACCTTTTCATCCATCTCCCCTCTGTCTCTTCCTGCCACACAGTCTCAGTTCTCTATCTATCTATCTATCTATCTATCTATCTATCTATCTATCTATCATCTTCTATCTATTATCTCTCATCTATCTATCATCTATCTACCTACCTATCTAATCTATCATCTATCTACCTATCTATCTACCTACCTATCTACCTACCTATCTAATCTTTCTATTATCTATCTATCTATCTATCTATCTATCATCTATCTATCTATCTATCTATCTATCATCTATTACCTATTATCTATCATCTATCATCTATCTACCTACCTATCTAATCTATCATCTATCTATTTACCTACCTATCTACCTACCTATCTAATCTTTCTATTATCTATCTATCTATCTATCTATCTATCTATCTATCATCTATCTACCTACCTACCTATCTAATCTATCATCTATCTATCTACCTATCTATCTACCTATCTAATCTTTCTATTATCTATCTATCTATCTATCTATCTATCTATCTATCTATCTATCTATCATCTACCTACCTACCTATCTAATCTATCATCTATCTACCTACCTACCTATCTAATCTATCATCTATCATCTATCTATCTAACTAACCTATCATTTATCTATCTATCTATCTATCTACCTATCTAATCTATCATCTATCTATCAGCATCTCTCTCTGTTTACCTCTTCCTCTCTCTCTATCTCTTGGGTGTAGCACTGCCTCTTGCTATACATCCTTAGGTGTCTCCCTGTGCCTGGCTCTGTCTTCCTCTCACCTCGGTCTCTTTCTGTGTCTCAGCATCTTCGTGTCTCTCTCTTCCTGTCTCTGACCCACAACCTGTGCAGGTCTCTGATCCCCTCTCTCTGGCCCGTTCCTCTGCCCTCAGGGCTCAGCCACGGGGCCTCCGAGAAGATTTATAACGGCACGGAGTGTGACCCTCACTCGCAGCCGTGGCAGGTGGGGCTGTTTGAAGGTGTCAACCTGCGCTGTGGGGGGGTCCTCGTTGACCGAAGGTGGGTCCTCACAGCTGCTCACTGCAGCGGCAGGTAAGCGCCCCCCCCCCCCCATTCTGGCTCCCTTCCTGGAGTGGCTGAGGAGGGTGATGGGGAGGGAGTGTCAAGGAGAAAGGAGATGGCCCTGCCACAAGAGACTCTGAGGTTAGACGACTAGGACTTTTTATTTTTTTATTTTTTTAATATGTTTTTATTGATCTCAGAGAGGAAGGGAAAGGGAGAGAGAGATAGAAACATCAGTGATGAGAGGGAATCATTGATTGGCTGCCTCCTGCATGCCCCCTACTGGGGATCGAGCCTGCAACCCGACTGGAATCCAACCCAGGGCCCTTCAGTTGGCAGGCTGACGCTCTATCCACTGAGCCACACCATCCAGGGCCGGGAGTAGGACTTTTTAAACAATGGGCCTAGGTAGGGCTGGGGTGCAGTGGGGTGGGGGAGGGGCCGAGGAGGGGCCTGGAACCTGCCCACCCACCTTCTCTCGTTCCTTCGAGTCCCCCTCCCTCCCTAGATGGCATCTGTCACCAGGCCCAGCCATTCCCTGACCCAGGCTGGGCCCTGGGCCCACATCTGACCCACACACTCTGTGCAGCCTCAGTGATCCCATCTGTATAATGGCAGGATTGGGCTTCCTGGGTCTGACCTTCTGTGTTTTATCCGAAAGGGAAGTTTCAGACACACAGAGATGGAGAGATGTGGGGACAGGGAGAGGCACGAGCAGGACAGAGAGCGGTCACACGGTGGGCAGCGTGGGCAGTCCAGGCAGTCTCCTAGGAGGTGGGGTCAGAAGACCGACAGCTGTCCCTTCCCCCGTGCACCTCACCAGCTAAGAGAATCAGATGGGGACACAGATGCAGGGACAGGGGTGGGGGTCGGGGGGAGCGGGGTGATGGAGATAGAGACCAAGAGGCTGAGAGACAGCACCTTAGAGAACACGGGCAAATGAGTGAGGGACCAAGATGATGACATGAGGGCCTGGGGGTCTGGGGGCAGCCCACCTGCTGAGCCAACATAACCCCTAGCAGGTACTGGGTGCGCCTGGGGGAACACAGCCTCAGCCGCCTGGACTGGACGGAACAGATCCGGCGCAGCGGCTTCTCCGTGACCCACCCCGGCTACGAGGGAGCCCGGAGGAGCCACGAGCATGACTTGCGGCTTCTGAGGCTGGGCACTCCCGCCCGCCTGACCCGCAGTGTCCAGCCCCTGGCCCTGCCCACCACCTGTGCAGCAGCTGGCACGGAATGCCACATCTCCGGCTGGGGCACCACCAACCGACCATGGAGTAAGCGGGCCCTGGGGTCAGGGGTCAAAATGGGCAAAAGTCTGGGTATAGGGTGAGAGGTCACAGGTCACACCATCTCAGGGGAAGGAGGGTGAAAGGGTCAAACATCAGGGTTATAGTCTGGGGTTGGAGATCGTGGTGGAGCAGGCCTTGAGTGTCAAAGCGGTTAAGGGGCTGGGGATGGAGTCAGAAGTCCTGGGTCAGGGAGGATGTGGTTAGAGGTCAGAGTGCTGTCGGGGATCATTGGACTGGAGCAAAAGGCATATATATAAACTAGAGGCCCAGGGCACAAATTCGTGCACCAGTGGGGTCCCTCAGCCTGGCCTGGGGGATCAAGCCGAAACTGGCACTCCGGCATCCCCCAAGCGGTCCTGGGTTGCGAGAGGGTGCAGGCCAGGCCGAGGAACCCCACCGGTGCACAATCAGGGCTGGGGAGGGACACAGGAGGTTGGCCAGCCAGGGAGGGACCACAGGAGGGCTCCAGGGCGTGTCCGGCCCATCATGCTCAGTCCTGATCAGCCAGGCCCCAGCAGCAAGCTAACCTACTGGTCAGAGCGTCTGCCCCCTGGTGGACAGTGCACGTCATAGCGAGTGGTTGAGCAGCCTTAGCATATCATTAGCATATTAAGCTTCGATTGGTTGAATGGCCGACCAGACAACCAGACACTTAGCATATTAGGCTTTTATTATATAGGATAGGATCAGGGGTTGGTCAACGTCATTGAAGAGTTGAGGCCATGGGACCCACTTGTTGCAGCAGCTGGCCACAGTCTCAGGATGGAGATTAGGGCTCATGGATCTGGGATTGGAAGCCATAGAGTTTTGAGTGTGGAGGCAGAGGCTAGGGGTCATGGAGTCAGGGTTCAAATAACCTAGGATCAGAGGTCACCTTGGAATAGAGACCAGTGATTTAGAGGAAGCAGAACTGAAGTCGGAGCGTAAGGTGAAGACAAGGAATACGGGGTCAGGAGACAGAAGACGTGAGGTCCAGTTGGGATCAAAGGATGATAAGACTGAAGGTCGAAGGTCACACAGTAGCTGAAACGAAAGTAGGTCAGGTCTGGATTCATCTATCTATCTATCTATCTATCTATCTATCTATCTACCTACCTACCTATCTGTCTATCTATCATCTATCATCTATCATCTATCTGTCTATCATCCATCTATCTATCTAATTCAGCCGTGGGCAAACTACGGCCCGCGGGCCGGATCCGGCCCTTTTGAAATGAATAAAACTAAAAAAAAAAAAAAGACCGTACCCTTTTATGTCATGATGTTTACTTTGAATTTATATTAGTTCACACAAACACTCCATCCATGCTTTTGTTCCGGCCCTCCGGTCCAGTTTAAGAACCCATTGTGGCCCTCGAGTCAAGAAGTTTGCCCACCCCTGAATTCTAATCTGTCTATCTGAGGTTGGAGGGACCAGGAGGGTATAGGGTTATGACACTCAAAGTTAGAGGTTAAAGGTCCAGGAACTGGGCCAACGGGCTGGGGTCAAGGGTCATGATGGCATCAAGTCATACATCTAAAGTTTGGAGGTTGAGGATTATAGTGGAGGTCACAGGAAGGGGATGGGGGATAGTTTTAGACCGAGCTTCCTTGAGAGGAGGGAAGTGGGGGGCTCTGGGGGAACCGGCAGCATCCACCTTCCACCCCCAGGCCCATTCCCAGACAAGCTGCAGTGCCTCAACATCGCCATCGTCTCCAGTGCCACCTGCCGAGCCGTGTACCCTGGGAGAATCACGGACAACATGTTGTGTGCGGGTGGCAACATGGGAAAGGATGCCTGCCAGGTGAGCAGGTGCAGGCGATGCCTGGCCACCGGGGACAGGGAGCAGGGGGCGGAGGAGGGGGGACAGGGGGAGGGTGAGTCAGGGAAAGGGGAGAGGGGAGAAAGATGAGGTCCGAAAGAAGGGGAGGCACAGCCCAGGGGAGGGGGACAGAACAGGAGGAAGAGCCAGGGAGTGGAGGACAGAGAGAGGGAGGGTGGGCAGAGAGAAGAGAGGGAGATGGGGGACAGTAAAGGAGCAGCCGGTATGTGGGGTGCTCCCGTAGGTAAGCTACTCCCTCTCCAGTTCTGAGTCTTCCCCACACCGTCCTCCTCTGGTTGGTACTGGCTCAGGTGAGAGATTCCAGGATGGAGGCAGGAAAGGAGGTCGGGGTGCTCTCAGCCTCCCATTCTGCTTACCTTGCCCTCTTGGGGCCTCCAGAGAGGAGCCCTGCCCCACCCTACTGGCCAGGCCTACTGCCCTTCAGAGACCTCTTTATGGAGTCCCGCCCTCCTTTGCTGCGATTGGTTGGTGGCGCCCACGCTCTCTTCCCTCATTGGCCAGGGCCCCTGCCATTGTTCTTGCGGGAACTCTCTGCCCTTTGTGGACACCCGCCCACCTTCCCTGTGTCTGGCGCCTGGGAACAGCGTGTTCTTCTCCATTGTTCAGTCATTGCTGTTGTCCTTGGGGCGCTTGGCTGGGCTCTTGTTCTGTCGACCAGGTTGGGAGCCACTGTCCTCAGGGCCCGGACCTGGGCTGGGGAGAGGACAACTGCACCGGGCTTGCTCCCCTATTCATGCCCCGCTCCTTTGCCCCCCCTTTTGCTTCCAGGGCGACTCTGGGGGCCCGCTGGTGTGCGGAGGAGTCCTCCAGGGCCTGGTGTCCTGGGGGTCCGTCGGGCCGTGCGGCCAGGAAGGCATGCCGGGCGTCTACACCAACATCTGCAAATACGTGGACTGGATCCGGGGGGTCATCAAGAACAACTGACTGGCTCCTTCCACCTCCACCCTTTCCCGGCTTGGGGTCCACTCGGACCCCCGGAGCGCCGACACCTCCTCCATCGTCAACCCCAGCTCTCACTCTTCTCGGTCTGGGAAATCCCCTTCCCCCGAACTCCAGCGCCAGCCGGTCCCCTCCTAAGGCCCCCGGTTCAGGGAGGAGGGCCTGTGGGGCCATTTGGAATAAATGTAACTCGCCAAGGGGTGGAGTCTCTCTGTCTGTCTGTCTGTCTGGTATCCCCGTGCTGGTAGAGAACGAAGGGAGGGCTCATTCGCTCCCCTCCTCACTGGTGTAGAACTAGAGATCTCAGATGGGGAGGGATTTCCCACAGGGACAGAGTAGAAAAAGTTACTTATCACAATAAAAACAAAGGACCTTTTTCTCCATCGGACACCGCAGGAACAGGGACCAAACGCTTGTAAGCTTTTCCAGGGCCCGTAAAGGACCTGAAGGAGGGGGGGACAAACAAATTACACGGGCTGCAAACTACCAAGCGACACCTGTGAACCCAAAATTCGTGACCATTGAACGAAATGCCCAATGCGTGTAACATTCCCGCCAACCCGCCCATGGCAACTGGCTTCTGCTGGGGGCCGGGCACACGTTACATTATTTAACGACTGGACGCGGCCTGTGGGTTGGGTGGAGTGCGGCCGCGGAAGGCCCGAGGACCCAGCCCATGTCTTCGGATCGTCCTGCCCACCCCCTTGGGGTCTGTCCTCCCTGCCCCTCCAGGAGGCGCAGAGAGAACTTGTCCACGGTGCCTGGAAGAGGAATTTGAGGTGTGAACATGACAGCCGTGGGAACATGGGGCTGAGAACCATCTGTCCTTGGCTCTCTTCAAGTCCTCATCCAACCCCCTAAGGCAGGGCTGTCCCCCCTCCCCCCCTCCGCGCGCGCACACGCACACACATACACACACACACATACACACACACACACACACACACACCCCTCCAGGTCACAGATGAAGAAATTGAGCCTCACTGGGGTGGAGTCCCCCCCCCCCCCCCCCCCCCGTCCCACGTCACCGCGGCAACGAGAGGCAGCACCGAGGTCTGGGGCCAGGGCTGGCTGCGGGCAGAACCCAGGCCCTACCTGGCGATCCTGCTCCGCATCTGGTTAGAGGAGAGAGGAGGCACCACAGGAAGCAGATCGACTTGATAACAACCCCGAAGACGCAGGGATTGCCACTAGACTGTGCAGACCAGGAAACCGAGGTGGCTCAGGTCTGGGAAGGCATCGGACCCGGGTCACACAGCCAGTAAGTGCCACAGCTGGATGCCAAGGCCCCTGGGGGGGTCCCCGACAGACTCGGGGTGGAGGGATAGGGGGCAGGTTAGAGAGAAGGGTGGGCAGAGGAGCCCTCATTTCCTATTCCCCAGCCTTGACTCCCACAAGCCCCGACCTGCCTCCCCCACCCTCCTGTCCTGCCCCTGCGCCTGGCAGCAGCCCCACCTCTGTGACGCCCCAGTTCCCCCTTTTCTTGGAATGGAGAAGGGAGGGGCCCAAAGGAGGCCAGGGGCCCACCTGGGCTCCGGCTGTGGGGAGGGAGGGCGGGGCAGGCCCAAGAGGAGATGAGGTAGAAGAGGGGTTGAGAGACAGAGGGAGAGAAGGGGAAAGACAGACAGAGCGAGTAGGGAGGGAGGGAGGGAGGCAGAGACAAGCTCCAAGAAGGACGGAGCCTGGGAGATGCAAACAGAGGCAGTGGGAGAGAGAAAGGCAGTCTCGCAGACACAGAGAAACGACAGGCACGCAGAATTACGGCGAGGCGGCTGGCCACAGAGGCGGAGAGAGAGGCTGGGTGACAGGGCAGGATGCAGGCAGGCAGGTGGATGCACCGGCCCGAGGGACCGTGAGCAGCAGAGAGAAGAGGGGCTTGGAGAGGTGACAGAGGCTGGCAGGCGGGCAGGCCCTGCGCCGGTCTGGGTAGGGCCCCCCCACACACCCCGCCCCCAAGGCAATAAGGCAGGGCTGGGAGGCCCAGTCATGGGGCCACCCCCCTCCGACTGCCTGCCTGGTGCCTCGCGCTCCGACCCAGCCTGTCCCAGCCTGTCAGAGCCACCACCACCACCACCACCACCACCACCACCACCACCACCACCGTGGGTCCCGGGAGCCCCAGCTCCAGAGCCTGTGAGTCTGGGAGGGAAAAGAAGCGCCCCCCCGACCCCGACCCCCAGGCATCCAGGTGGTACCAGACAGAGCACTGGGCCTTCTGGTCTTGGCACTGTTTCTCCCTCTGGTCTGTCCTAGGCTTGGGGTGGCGGGGGGGTGGGGCGGGGGGGCGGAGGGAGCGGGGGGGGGGGGGGCGGAGAGGCTCTCTGCTTCTCTCTGCCTCTCCAACCGGCTGCCACCAACCTCCGTGACTGCTGGCCCCGGCCTCTGTCCCCGAGTCCAGCCCTCCACCTCTGCCCCTGTCAGCCAGGGCAGCTGAGGACACAGGCTCTTCCTGTCCTGCCCCCCCCCCCCCCACCAGCTGCATCCAGGTGCCCTTCGCAGGGGCTGGGGTGCAGCAGGGCAGGGTCCCAAACACCATCCCCAGCTGAGGCCCCCCCAACCCCCCCCCCCCGGCACTCCCAGAAGCCCATGTCCCCTTGGGTGTTTTCTCAATGGTGCCAAGACCCTTTCCTGTCCTGCCCCAAGCTGCTGGGGCCCGATCGGCTCTCAGGTGGACCCAGGAGAAAACCTGCTCTGAAAGGGACCTGGGGGGGGGGGGGGCGTGTCCGAGGTTCAGAGGTCGACGTGACATGGGGCAAAGCCTCCCCCGGCCACGTCCACATCCTCCTTGGCCGCCAGCAGCTTCTATCTGAGATCTGGTCCCTCCAAAGATTCATGCCAAGGCCCAGAGGTCAGGGTGCTGTGAGGACAGAGCGCAGGGCATCCTGCCAGCCCTGTCGTTTCTCCCTGGGGACGGTCAGAGCAGGCGAGGGAGAGAGGAAGGGGCAGGAACCCGCCCGCGGTCTCCCCATTTGGCCCCCTCCTTGCTTCCAGAAGCACCTGGGGCCTGCCCTCCTCCCCCCTCCCACCGCTCCAGGCCATGACGATTCTGCCATTAATCATGCTGGCTCTGGCGACAGGTACGGTAGGCGATGGGGAAGGGCAGGGGCCTCCCTCTCAAACCACCAGCGTCCCCCAACCCTCTGCGTTGAGAATAACCCAGAGGGGGCATCGGAAGGGATCTGCGAGCCAGAATGAGGCCCTGGAGGCCCTTGGCCGCAGCAGGTGTTAGACCAGTGATGGCGAACCTTTAGAGCTCGGCGTGTCAGCATTTTGAAAAACCCTAACTTAACTCTGGTGCCGTGTCACATATGGAAATTTTTTGATTTTTGCAACGATAGTAAAACAAAAGATTTATATTTTTGGTACTTATTTTATATATTTAAATGCCATTTAACAAAGAAAAATCAACCAAAAAAATGAGTTCGCGTGTCACCTCTGACATGGGTGTCATAGGTTCGCCATCGTGGTATTAGATGCTAGAATGGGGAGGAGGCCCAGGAGGGTCCCAGGGGAGGGGCCAGGGAAGCCGGGCTAGAGTGGGGGGCAAAGAGCTCAGGACAGTGGCTATTGGCCAACCGCTATGTCAATCATTCAATGCCCGGCCTGTCCATCCAGTGCATCCCAGAGGGGCACCAGGCGGGGGAGCCCAGACACCCCCCTACTCCCTCTCTCCTGGGAGTCCTCTCATGCCTGAGCCCCCTCTTTTGCCCCCACCCCCTCCAGGGCATGTAGGGGGAGAGACCAGGATCATCAAGGGGTACGAGTGTCCTCCTCATTCCCAGCCCTGGCAGGTGGTTCTGTTCCAGAAGACACGTCTGCTCTGTGGGGCAACCCTCGTCGCCCCCAAATGGCTCCTGACAGCGGCTCACTGCCTCAAGCCGTGGGTGCGGGGGCCGGGGCGGGGCCGGGAGGGGGCTGGAGATGGAGATTTGCATGGAGAGGGGCTTGGTGATGGGGCGAATGTGCATGGGGTGAGACAGGTGGGGTGGAGATGGGCACAGAGGTGGGGCTGAGTTGGCGTTGGTGATGGGCAGCCACTGGGAATTGAGGAGGGAGGGATGGACGACGTCGGAACTGGGACGGGGTTGGGTACGGAGCTGGGTGCTGGGTGCTGGGTGGGGATGTAGTTTGGAAGGGGGTTTCGATGGGACCCAGGGCTGAGGTTGGAAGTGGACATGTGGTCCTTCATTCCTTCAAGGTGCCCTCATGTCCCCCCCCCCCAACCCCATGCCTCTGGCCCCACCTCCCGTCTCTCCTTCTCCTTCCACCTCTGACCACCATCTCTCCCACCTCAGCCAATACATAGTCCACCTGGGGATGCACCACCTTCAGCGACATGACGGCTGGGAGCAGACCCGAAGGGCCACCAAGTCCTTCCCCCACCCGGACTTCAACAACAGCATCCCCAACAAGGACCACCGCAATGACATCATGCTGGTGAAGTTGGCGTCGCCCGCCATCATCACCTGGGCCGTGCGCCCCCTCACCCTGTCGTCGCGCTGCGTCACCCCAGGCACCCGCTGCCTCATCTCCGGCTGGGGCACCACGTCCAGCCCCCAGTGTAGGAGCTCCACGGGGGGGCGGGGGAGCGGTGGGGGCAGGGTGGTCGCCACCGAGGAAGGAACGGCGGGAGACCGGAAGAACCTTCCCAAATGAGTCCTAGTGATCAACGAGGGGGCTACCTTTTGGTGTCAGGGGTGGGATCAGGTGAAAGATGTGGGTGGAGACCGTAGGCAACGGAGTCACCTCTGTCCACCTTGGTTTTTCTCTATGAAATGAGAACCATCACACCCACCCACCAGGGCTGGGTTAGAGGCCCTGTGTCTAGAGCCCTGGCTCTTGAGCCACATGCGGCTCTTGGGCCCCTTGAGTGTGGCTCTTCCGAAGCCTTAGGAGGACCCTAATTAAGTGAATAACAAGGTACCTACCTATATAGTTTCCGTTTAAAAAATTTGGCTCTCAAAAGAAATTTCAGTCGTTGTCCTGTTGATATTTGGCTCCGTGGGCTCATGAGTTTGCCGACCACTGGTCTCGAGCAATGATAGTTGTTGTTGTTACCAGCCGAGAGACGAGCTGGCTGTCAGCCAGCGCAGGGACTGGGTTCAGAGCGAGCCCTGCAGTGCGGGGCACAGCGCCAGGAGGCTCTCATTGTCCACACCCCTTCCCTTCCGCTTCCACAGTGCGCCTGCCCCAGACCTTGCGATGTGCCAACATCACCATCATTGACCACAAAGAGTGTGAGAACGCCTACCCGGGCAACATCACGAACACCATGGTGTGCGCCAGCGTGCGGGAGGAGGGCAAGGACTCCTGCCAGGTCAGAGGGCAGGGCCTGGGTCTCCAGCCTCTGATGTGTCCTCATCGACACCCGCCACCCCCACCTCTTCCCTCACACGGCGCCGGGCACCTGCCCCTCTCCCAGTCTCATCCCAGCTCTACCCCCACCCCCTGCCCATGCCCTCGGCTGCCCCAAACCCCTCTCCATCTCCGGTTCCCTATGCCCACCCCAACCATGCCCAAATCCATTTTCTTTTTCTTTAAATATGTTTTTATTGATTTCAGAGAGGAAGGGAGGGAGGGAGGGAGAGAGAGAGAGAGAGAGAGAGAGAGAGAGAGAGAGAGAGAAACATCAATGATGAGAGAGAACCATGGATGGGCTGCCTCCTGCACGCCCCACACTGGGGATGGAGCCCACAGAACTGGGCATGTGCCCTTGACCGGGAATTGAACCGTGACCTCCTGGTTCATAGATGGGAGCTCAACCACTGAGCCATGTGGGTCGGGCCCCAACTCCATTTTCAACCCTAACCTCCATCTTGGTTCTTACCCATAACTCCAGTCTCATCCCCACCCCCTTCCTCCGACTCCACCCCCCTAACCGCACCCCATCCCCATTTCTCCCTAACCCAGCGGTTCTCAACCTGTGGGTCGCGACCCCTTTGGCGGTCGAACGACCCTTTCACAGGGGTCGCCTAAGACCGTCCTGCATATCAGATATTTACATGACGATTCATCACAGTAGCAACATGACAGTTATGAAGTAGCAACGAAAATAATTTTATGGTTGGGTCACCACATGAGGAACTGTATTGAAAGGGCCAGAAGGTGGAGAACCACGACCCTAACCCCACACCCAGCACCTTCCCCTCCCGCAAGGCCTCTCATTCCCGCTGATGGGTCTTCTCTCTCCCGGTCCCCAGGGTGACTCCGGAGGCCCGCTGGTCTGCAATGGGTCCCTGCAAGGCATCATCTCTTGGGGGCAGGACCCCTGTGCCATCAGCAGAAAGCCTGGCGTCTACACAAAGGTCTGCAAGTACATAGACTGGATTCACGAGACGATGAAGAACAACTAGCCGGCACCAGCTCGCCAGCCTCACCCACGCCCCGTCCACGCGTGGTGACGTGGCGCCTGTTCCTTCTGCTCCTGACGAAGCCCGGCCAGGGCCCCTTCACGCGTCCCCGGGGGCGTCCTGGGCTAGATAGACGCCGAAGCGCAATAAGCAACTTGTCGGAACGGATGAGACCGGAATTCATTAACCTGGGAGTCTGGGGGGTGGTTGTTTGGTAGCTGTTTGGTTCGCTGTTGTATCCCAGGCCCAAAGACAGTTCCTGGCACGAGATTTCAATAAATGTTTAGTACATGGATGGCTCGCCTGAGTGCTTACCTGGGTGCCAGACCCCGGCCCATAGGGCTTTTCCCTGTAACGTACCCTGCACCAATGCCTAAGGAGGTCGGGCTAGCATTGTTATTACTAGTAGCCCTGTGCACGAGTCCGTGCGCTGCCCTCCTGTAGCTCCCCCCAACCCCCCCCCCCCCATAGCTTGTTGCCCTGCCCCATCCTATAGCTCTCTGCTACCCCCTTGTAGCCAGTAGGTCAATGTCACCCTCCTGTAGCTTCCCCCTCCTGCCTCCCCGCCTTGTAGCTTGCTGCCCTGCCCCCTCCTGTAGCTCTCCACAGCCCGCTTGTACCTCCCTGGCCCAACCACTTGCTGATCCATGATCTGGTCGTGATGCGCTTGGTCGTTACACCTCAGGGTGTAACGGCTAATTAGCATATTTTTTATTCTATAGGATTATGATTATTATTGTTATTATTATACCTATTTGCAGACGAGGAGACCGAGACACAGTGAAATGGAGTCACTGGCTCATGGTCACACAGCCAGCAAGTAGAAAAGCCAGGAGTCTGAAACAGGGGTGATGTCTTCAAGGAGCCCTACGGCCTCGGTTTCCTTAGCTGTCAAGCCGTGCGTACGCCTTGTACCCCAGCACGTGAGGTCGGTCTGCGTGCACATAGCGAAGACTGAACAAAAGGGAGTGCTCGTTGTTTTGTTTCCAACCTCCGTGAGAGGTAGCTAGTCCCCTGAGACCCGCACAGGCCAATCCGTTCGCCACTGACCGCGTGCGCCTTTTAAAAAATACGTTTTCATGGATTTTTACAGAGTTGGGAAGGGAGGGAGCCGGAAACGTGGTTGAGAGAGAAACACTGATCAGCTGCCCCCTGCACGGCCCCCACTGGGGATGGAGCCTGAAACCTGGGCATGTGTCCTGACCAGGAATCGAACCCGAGACCTCGTGGGGCGTGGGTCGACACCCGACCACTGAGCCACACCGGCCGGGTGTGACTCTAAATGAAGATTACATGAAAGCAGAAATGCCATTCTTCTGTCCCAGGTGACACATCGCCAGTGTGGTATGGCCACATGTGGCCCGTGGCCGCCCTGTTGGGCAGCACCGTGCGGCTGCAGGAAGTTTGCGTGGACAACGCAGAGCCGCACGGCCTCCGGAAGGAACTCCCTCCTCCCTGGAGAAGTTGCTGGGTCGACAGCCCAGCACCCGGCCCCTTTCCCAGGGTTCTGCTCTCCTGGCAAGGGAGGTAGCCGGCATGAGGAGGAAGAGCCCGCCTGCCTGCCTGGAGCTGGAACTGGGGCCTCCTGGTTGCTAGGCGGACTTGCTGCGTGACCTGCCCTGAGTCACGGCCCTCTCTGAGCCTCCCATTCCTCACCCGAAATGAGGAAGTTGGCTGAGCTCATGTGGACACCCCTGGCAGCCTCCGGTGATTCATGGGCCTGCCTGTCACCTGCAGACACACGGAGGGCAGGGAGGGTGTGAGGGGACCACACATGGGGAGGGCAGGGTGTGCCTGCCTCCCTCCCCTAACACCCGGGCTTGGTTACTGGGGACACACACAGGAAGTCCACTGCCCTGGCTGCAGTGGGGTGGGGTGGGGGTGGACTCCATCACAGAGCATCCCCCTGGGTCTTGTCTCCCTCCATCTCCCCCTCTTCCTTTTCCTGTTTTGTTTCTGTGAGTGTCTCTGAGGCTCCTACGCTGTCCTTGAACCTCTCTTATCTCTGCCTCCCCCTCTCCCTGGCAGCCTGCTGGCTTTCCTTACCTGGTCACCCAGGTATGCATCTCCCTATTTATTTATTGTCCTCAGCTCCCTGTTTATGCCCTTCTCTTCTGGTCCCCGCCACCCTCAGGCTCCCCGGGCACCCTCTCTCCCCATCTGGGAAGACTCCCTGGAACAATGAGACGTAGGGAAATCCCCACGGAAGCCAGGTCCCCACAAGGGTGTCTTGGGCACTGGGAGAAGCCTGTATTCCCGGGCCCCTCCCAGAGCAGGAATCTGGGGCCCGGGTTGGATGCCAGCCGCGCCCAAGTCTAATTAGGGAGAGGGAAAAGGAGGGGGCGCGGGCCCCAGGGGCAGGGTGGGGAAGTTTCCGGGCTCTCGGAGGTTAAAAGGGAAGGCCTGGCCAGGGGTCCCTGGGCAGAGGATCCAGCGGCCCGCACGACAAGCAGAAGCGCTTCTGGGTCACCACCTCCTTCTCGTCCGCGACAACCAGGTGAGGTCAGATGCACCTCTCATTCTGGTTAGGGACCCCGAATACCCGGCCGGAGCCCGGCGGGAGCCTGGTTTCCCTCCAGACCCCCCAGCCTGGCTGGGAAGGAAGCGCAGCCCCCACGCACCGATGGGCGGGCAGCCGGGGCAGCCCCGCCAGGAGCGCGCTCCCCGCGGGCGGGCGCAGGAGGGCGCAGCCAGAGCATCATTAAGATAATTGCGCCCATGACCGCTGTCCCGGCCCGAATGGCTACTCCGCCCGCCCCTGGGGTTGTGGCCTCAGGTTACAAGGGTCCCGCGGGCTGGAGGGGGGCGAGGAGGGGGGCTGGCTTGCCGAAGGGCGCGGCAGGATGAGGGTCTTGGTTAGGGCACCTGTTTTAACCAGCGCGCCCCGCTCCCTCCGCCCTTTCCAGCCCAGGTCCAGGCCATGAGACCCCAGCGCCTCCACCTCCCCGCCGCCTCGGGCGCCCGGGTCCCGGCCAAGCTGCTGCTGCCGCTGCTGATGGCGCAATTTTGGGGTGAGGCGGGGGTCAGGCCTCGTGTGAGGCGCGGAGACCCGGCGACGGGCAAGGGAGTTCTCACTACCCACCCCCGCACCCGCTCCCGCCCCGGCCCGGGGACCCCGCGCGCAGCCAGCGGTCCCGAGCTGGCCCCACGCCCAGCCGCGCCCCCTCGTCTAGCTGCGCCCGGGAGGCCGCGCCCCGGCCCGGCCCCGCCCCGCATGCCGCCCGCGCCCCCCTCCTCCCTTTCCCTTCCCGGGTCCTCTCCTCGCCCCTAACTCCGCCGGGTGCTGATCCGGTCCCTCCTCACGCCGCCCCGTTCGATCCCAAGTCTGGCCTCAGCCCCCTTCTCCTGCCCGTGGCGTGATTCCCACGCCTACTCCTCGCCGACCGCGCCCCGCGTCCTGGCCCCGCCCGCTCCGCCCCAGCCCCTCCAGACCCATCCTGCCGGGTCCCCTTTCTCCACTCCGCCCGGTCCCGCCTTCTTCCCCTTTCACGCCCCTTTCCTTCGCCCACTTCCCTCAGGTTCTCGCAGGACGCACCCCGCGCCCCCACTTCCCACTGTCTCCCGGGTTCTGGCTGGGCGCGCCCCTCCGCCCCGCCCCCTGCTCCGTGCCGCGGCCGCGCTCGGACCCCAAACCCCGCCCTTGCCCTGCGCGGCCTCCTCTGATCGCCACCTCCCGCCCCCCAGTTGCAGAGGCGGTGTCCCCCCAAAACGCCACGGCCTTTGACCTCGAGGTCTCTGGCGCCCCGTGCGCGCGCGGCTCGCAGCCCTGGCAGGTCTCCCTGTTCAACGGCCTCTCGTTCCACTGCGCGGGGGTCCTGGTGGACAAGAGCTGGGTGCTCACGGCCGCGCACTGCGGGAACAACAAGTAGGGAGCTCCTCGGGGCGGCGCGGGGGGCGCGGGGGAGGCGGGCCCGGGGGAGGGGGCGGGAGGCCTGGGGCGTTGGAGGGGCCGGTGCTCTCCCGGCTCCACGTGGGGTCCGTCCCGCGATGGTCTGCGCGGTGGCCGCCAGGGGGCAGTGTGGTCCTTCTCAGCATTTCTGGGCCCATCCATCACCTCCGTCCGCCTGATTCCCCGTGGGTTCCATGTAGGTGCAGAGAGTTGTGTGCCACAGACAGCGGTCAAGGAATTCCGCACTAAAACAAATGGTTCAGCTCATGAGTCCCTATTGAGGGAGGCAGAAAAGTGGGGGGACCCTCCCATGTCCCCAGCTCTCCTCTCTTCCGCTCACTCCTCCGCCCTCAGACCCAGGAGTCCAGGCCCCCAGCCCCTCCTCCCTCAGACCCAGGAGTCCAGGCCCCCAGCCCCTCCTCCCTCAGACCTCCTTCTAGGATCCAGGAGTCTACCCCCACCCCACTGCCTGTACCCTCCTCCCAGGGACTCAGAGTCCTGTTTCAGTCCCTATAAAGGCTTTGCCTCCACACGGCTCTTCCCTCCCCAGGCAGCTGTGGGCCCGCGTTGGGGATGACCACCTGCTGCTTCTCCAGGGGGAGCAGCTCCGCAGAACCACTCGCTTTATCGTGCACCCCAAGTACCACCACGGCTCGGGCCCCATCCTGCCGAGACGCACGGATGACCACGACCTCATGCTGCTGAAGCTGGCCAGGCCGGCCGTGCTCGGGTCACGCGTCCAGACCCTGCGCCTGCCGTACCGCTGCGCCCAGCCTGGAGACCAGTGCCAGGTGGCGGGCTGGGGCACCACGGCCCACCGAAGAGGCAAGAGCTGAGGGCCCTGTGTCTTGGGCAAGAGGGGCTGGGGTCTGGACCCCTGTGTCTGAGGGAGGAGGGGCTGGGAGTCTGGACCCCTGGGTCTGAGGGAGGAGGGGCTGGGAGTCTGGACTCCTGGGTCTGAGGGAGGAGGGGCTGGGGGCCTGGACTCCTGGGTCTGAGGGAGGAGGGGCTGGGGGCCTGGACTCCTGGGTCTGAGGGAGGAGGGGATGGGAGTCTGGACCCCTGTGTCTGAGGGAGGAGGGGCTGGGGTCTGGACCCCTGTGTCTGAGGGAGGAGGGGCTGGGAGTCTGGACCCCTGTGTCTGAGGGAGGAGGGGCTGGGAGTCTGGACCCCTGGGTCTGAGGGAGGAGGGGCTGGGAGTCTGGACCCCTGGGTCTGAGGGAGGAGGGGCTGGGGGCCTGGGCTCCTGGGTCTGAGGGAGGAGGGGCTGGGGGCCTGGACTCCTGGGGCTGAGGGAGGAGGGGCTGGGGGCCTGGACTCCTGGGTCTGAGGGAGGAAGGGATGGGAGTCTGGACCCCTGTGTCTGAGGGAGAGGGGCTGGGGGCCTGGACCCCTGGGTCAGAGGGAGGGAGGGCTGGGGGCCTGGGCTCCTGGGTCTGAGGGAGGAGGGGCTGGGGGCCTGGACCCCTGGGTCTGAGGGAGGAAGGGCTGGGGGCCTGGACTCCTGGGTCTGAGGGAGGAGGGGCTGGGGGCCTGGACCCCTGGGTCTGAGGGAGGAGGGGCGGGGGCCTGGGGCCTGGGATGGGAACAGTCTGGGTGTCTGGACTCCGGGGTCCTGGAGCATTGGGGCTGGACCCGGGAGAACCTGGTGTTTCCTCACATCAGTGAAATACAACAAGGGCCTGAGCTGCTCCAGGGTCAGCATCCTGAGCCCCAGGGAGTGTGAGGTCTTCTACCCGGGCGTCCTCACCAACAACATGCTGTGCGCGGGACTGGACCAGGGCCAGGACCCCTGCCAGGTAGGGCCTGCCCGGGGAGGGCCTCTGACCGGTGGGAGTGGGCAGAGGGAGGTGACAGGGGAGCAGAGGGTCCACCCTTGTCCCCAGTCCCCCAGCCACCCAGCCACACAGCATCCCCCCGCCCAACCCTCTCCCACCCCTACCTCGGCCTCATCCCTGCCAACAGAACTTGGTCCAAACCTATATGCAAATCTCATGAGTTTATTGGAGTCAAAATCTTGAGGACTTGCCCGGCGGCGAGATCTCCAGGGACTGAGAAAATGCTCCGGAGACAGGCTGCTTGGCCATTTCTTGCGTACGTTCAGAATCGAAGGGGAGGAGTGAGCAGGGTGGCCCGGCATCCAGGTGGTGGTGGATGAAGCAGGCGGGAGAACGCACAGCAGGGAAATCTCCGGAAGTGGGTGCCCAGCAACATGGGAGTTGCATACTTTCCCATCGGTGGGCGCAGGGTAGCTCACCGCTCACACTCACAGTACAGGGTACAGAGATGGCACGGGGGCCCCGCCGTCAATGAGGAGCTCTGTGGGCCTCCGGTCTGCTGCCAGCCCTTTTCCGCCCAGGGGGTTGGAAAAGAAGATGACGCTGGCATTTCCAAGGCATGTTATCATAGATGCATGAGAAGGATGGGCAGGCCTTGACGAAGGTGAAGACTGTTATCTTTGCTAAGGGAGCTGTAGGCCTGGGGCATGACCACCCGCCAGGACCTGCCCCGATAGGAATTTGCGATCTGACCATCCTGTGAGGTTTCTTGCAGTCTCTGCGTCAGTCAGGCTGCCCTGTAGCCCTCCCCCCACCCCCGCACCCCCGAAACCCGCCCTGAGCTGGTCAGGTTTATGCCACACACCCCTTTTCATTCGCGTCCCCACGTCCCAGCCTGCCTCCTCGGGCCCATCTTCTTATGTCCAACCCTGTCCCCAGCCCTACCCGCTTCCCAGGCCATCCTGAACTTCACTCCCATCAAGTCATTCCCAAGCCCCCTCACCCCGGGTCTCTCTCTCTCTCTACATCAGTGGTTCTCAACCTTCTGGCCCTTTCAATATAGTTCCTCATGCGGTGACCCAACCATAACATTATTTCCGTGGCTACTTCATCACTGTCATGTTGCCACTGTGATGAATCGTCATGTAAACATCTGAGATGCAGGATGGTCTTAGGCGACCCCTGTGAAAGGGTCTTTCGACCGCCAAAGGGGTCGCGACCCACAGGTTGAGAACCGCTGCTCTAGATCCATCTCCACCCCCTTCCCTGTCAGGAGCTAGAATCTCAGCTCTGTCACGCCTCCATTCTCATTTCCGGATCCAACATCCATAACCCACGGTCAAAGGCCACCCCACTTTATACCTGACTCCAGCCCCATTCCAGCCTCCTCTCTATCCCAGCCTCTTTCTCCCCCGTCACGACCTCAGTCCCCCCAAGCGGCAGCCCTCACATCGGTGCCAGTATCTGACCGCTCCACCCTCCTCCCCCCAGAGTGATTCCGGCGGCCCCCTGGTCTGCGATGAGACCCTGCAGGGCATCCTGTCCTGGGGCGTTTACCCCTGCGGCTCCGCTCAGCACCCGGCCGTCTACACGCAGATCTGCAGATACACTTCCTGGATCGAGAAGACCATCCGCTCCAACTGACCCCGCGACTCCCTCCCCATCTCACATCCTTCCTTGTACAGTCGCCAGACTTTCCCTCCCTCGCCCCGTCCAGAGCTCCGCCACCCGTCCTTACCAGCCAGCACCTCTCCTCTCGCCTCCTCCTCCTCCTACCTGCCCCCTGGAGTGCAGGACGCGGGAGCCCGAGAGAGGCCGGGAAGCCAGTCCCTGAGAGAAGCTATCGGCCACCCAGCCTGGCTTCCTCGGCCGTTCTCTGCTGGGTGACCCTTGGGCAAGCCAGGAACCTCTCTGGGCTTCCGTTTCCACCTGGAAAATGAAGACAAAGAAGTGCCTACCTCGTAGACGTGTTGTGAGGAAACCATGATAAAGCGTGTGTATGTGTGTAGATCAGCGGTTCTCAGCCTTCCTAGTGCCGCGACCCTTTAATACAGCTCCTCATGTTGTGGGGACCCCCAACCATAAAATTATGTTCGTTGCTACTTCATCACTGTCGTGTTGCTACTGTTATGAATCGTCATGTAAATATCTGATCTGCAGGATGTATTTAGGTGACCCCTGTGAAAGGGTTGTTCAACCCCCAAAGGGGTCACGACCCACCGGTTGAGAACCGCTAGTGTAGATCATGATGGTCATTCTCGGTAAAGCATGACCTGGCATGTGGTGTTAGGATCCGTGTACAGGTCCTGGTGACAACATGTGTGACTCTGGGTCTCGGAGAGGAGAGCACAGGGCAGTCCCCAATCCTGTCACACACACACACACACACACACACACACACACACACACACCCCAGGGGTCTCCATTCCTCCGGGCCGATGGGACCATCCCATGGCCCACCCCCCTCGAAGTTCTATGAAGCATCTCTGAGCCATTTCCTTCCTCCCTCCCATTGTGTCCCACGCCTGGGTCCACCCAAAACCAGTTGGGCCTGCACAGCAGGAGCTGGCCCGGCTTTTAGTCGCTTGGTACCTTCTTTGTCTTCCTGGGGCCGCTGGAACACGAGAGACCTCACCCCGGCTCCCTCCCAGCCTCTGAGGCCAGGGGAACGCTCCTCGCCTTCTTTGCTAAGCTCCCGAAAAGAGCCCTCCCTCTGACATTTAGGGGAAATTCTCTTTCTGTGTGTTCAAGCCGATTGCATCCCTTCACCAACCAAGAGCTGCAATCCCCTCATCCAACGCCCCTAACCCAAGTCCATCCTTCACCGCCCCATCCCAAGATGGCTTTGAGGTTTTTGCTCTGAAAGTGGGCGAAGAAGCGCTCTTTGCCTCGCTCTGAAGCTGTCTCCGTATAAATATTCCTGTACCTGGAGGAGATAATACACAGGATGTGGGCACAGCGAATATATGATCTTGCACCTCCACTTAGCCTGGCGTTTGGAGCGGAAACGTAAGCCGACCCTGTGAGCAGCAGAAATTCTCCATCCAGCACAGGCGGTTCTTGGGTCCCCATTCAAACACCAGTGTGTTGAGCGTTTATTGGCTGGCAGGCCGGGTGCTGGGCTGGGAACAGAGCGGTGACCACACGGCCGCTGCCCCCGCAGACGACTGGTGCACAGTCCCTGGCACGGACTCCTCCCTGCTCCCATCAGCACACCCAGGAAACCATCATGAAGCATCAGCTGAGTCTGTTATGGGAGGATCGGAAGCAAAGTGGGCGGGGACTCAAAAACTTGAATCATTTTCTTTAAAAAAAAATATTTTTATTGATTTCAGAGCAAAAGGGAGGGAGAGGGAGAGAGAGAGAAACATCAATGATGGGAGAGAATCATTGATCAGCTGCCTCCTGCACGCCCCCTGCTGGGGATGGAGCCTGCAACCCGGGCATGTGGCCTTGACTGGAATGGAACCCGGGACCCTTCAGTCCGCAGGCCGACGCTCTAGCCACTGAGCCACACCTGCTAGGGCTTGAATCATTTCTCAAAAAATATTTTTTATTGATTATGAGATAGAGTGGAAGGGAGAGGGAGGAGAGAGAAACAGCTGTGTGGGAGAGAAGCATGGATCAGCAGCATCCTGCACGCCCCCTGGTACAAACCCAGGTTTCAGGAGCGAGCCTGAGACCCGGGTTTGTACCCTGAGCGGGGAATTGAACCGGCAACCTTTTATAAAAAAAAATTTTTTTTTAATATATTTTACTGATTTTTTACAGAGAGGAAGGGAGAAGGATAGAGAGTTAGAAACATCGATGAGAGAGAAATATCGATCAGCTGCCTTCTGCACACCTTCTACTGGGGATGTTCCCCCAACCAAGGTACACACCCTTGACCGGAATCGAACCCGGGACCCTTCAGTCCGCAGGCCGATGCTCTATCCCAGCCGTGGGCAAACTACGGCCCGCGGGCCGGATCCTGCCCGTTTGAAATGAATAAAACTGAAAGAAAAAAAAAGACCGTACCCTTTTATGTAATGATGTTTACTTTGAATTTATATTAGTTCACACAAACACTCCATCCATGCTTTTGTTCCGGCCCTCCGGTCCAGTTTAAGAACCCATTGTGGCCCTCGAGTCAAAAAGTTTGCCCACCCCTGCTCTATCCACTGAGCCACACCGCTCAGGGCTGAACCAGCGACCTTTCAATGCACAGACAACGCACAGCCCACTGAGCAACACCATTTTTAAAGGCAGCTCACCAGCCTTTCAGTCACACCACAAGTATTTGCTGAATCCTGTCCTGTGTCACGTCCGAGAGATGAATCAGACTGGGCCCTGCTTTTGAGGAGCTGCTGGTCAGGTCAGGGAGACAGGCAAGCCTTCCATTCTTGGCATCCAAGTCTCCGCTCCAAGATCCCCTGAAGGAGGCCTTCCAGCATGGCCTGGGCTGAGGCGGTTCCCGCTCACCCCCACCTCACCCAGCCATTGTTTTGTTTCTCTCACAGCCCTCATTATAGCGGAAACGATCCTATATAATAAAGAGCTAATACGCTAATTAGACCAGACAGCAGAATGACCGTCCGGACGACCTTCCAGACGGCCTTCCGGACGAAGCTGGGACTGCAAGGGGCTGCGAGGGATGAGTCCCTTGCATGAATTTTGTGCATTGGGCACTAACTGGTTTGACTCAGTGGATAGAGCATCAGGGTCCTGGGTTCAAATCTGGTCAAGGGCACATGCTGGGTTGTGGGTTTGATTCCCAGTGGGGGGCATGCAGGAGGCAGCCGATCAATGGTTATCTCTCATCATTGATGTTTCTACCTCTCCCTCTCCCCTCCTCTCTGAAATATATAAAAATAAATAAAATCCTATATAATAAAAGCCTAATATGTAAATCGACCAAACAGCAGAACGACCGGTCGCTATGATGCGCACTGACCACCAGGGGGAAGACACTCAATGCAGGAGCTGCCCTCAGGCTCTAGGCCAGCCAAGGCAGGTGCCAGCGAGGGCCTACCAGTTGCCCCACAGATAGGCCCTGATCACTGGCCAGGCCTAGGGACCCTACCCGTGCACGAATTTCATGGACGAGGCTTCTAGTCTCATTTATATTTGTTTCCTCCCTAATGATGTGTCCCCTCCCTCCTCATACCCAGTCCATGAGGGCAGGGAGTCTGATTTATTCCTGGTGGTTTTTCTAAGCACCTGGTACCGTGCCTGGCACACAGAAGCCACTCAGTATACCATTGCAATAAAAAAAATAACACCAATCGATCAATGCTGTAACAGGAAGAGGGGCAGTGCGCCCTGAGGAGGGGCCCAGGTCTCCTCTTGAAGGAGTCAGGGAAGTCTTCTCAGATGAGGAGGCATCGCACGGGGTTTTTAAGGATACGTAGGCGCTCACCTGTGACAGGGAACATGCATTTCTATCACTTACTATGTTGAGCAGGTTACTTAAACTCTCTACCTCAGTTTCCACCCGCTTCCTGTGAAATTGAGATGCCATGCTTACCTAGCTGCCAGGTACAGAGTACACAGTCCATAAAGGCAGCTGTCAAGATGCTCTTAAAGCAGTTAGTATGACTCTTAGCACGTAGTGGGTCTTCAGTCCTTGGTCTCCAGACGTGCTCCTCTGGAGAGGGAGTTATGACAACTGCAGTCCTGGGAGCAGTGCCGGGCTCTGTAGGAGACGGACAGACACAGGTGTGTAATACTCACAATGTGCCAGACACTATCCTCACAAATGTGAATCAACCCCCCTACGACCTCGGCGGAGAGAGGGCCAGGGACCTGCTCAAGTTCACACACCCAGCGATTGCCAGCATTGAGGTTCGGATCCAGGTTGTCCAGGTCCAGAATTCATGCTCCAGACTGCTACGTCCTTGTGAGGACATGCAAAGGGAACCCAGACCAATTCGTCAACCAGGCTCGTGGCAGGTGGAAGAGGTGGTGAGTGCTCAGGGGAGGAAAAGAGGGACTCCGCCAGGAGAAATCACGGAAGACTCCCTGTAGGAGGTGGCATTTAGGTTGGGTCTTGAAGGATGAGTTCAAGTTTCCCCAGGAAAAGAAGGATCTTAAGAAACGCTGCTGTGAAAAAGAAGGAACTCTTACCATTTGCAACAGCACGGATGGAACTGGAGAGCATTATGCTAACTGAAATTAGCCAGTCCAGGAAAGATAAATACCTCACTCATTTGTGGAATATAAAGAACATTATAAACCATTGAGCAAAAGTAGATAGAGGCAAAGAAGCATCGAACAGACTGTGAAACTACAGCAGGAAGGCAGGGGAGGGGTGGAGGGGAGGGGTAAGAGATCAACTGAAGGACGTGTATGTATGCATATAAGCACAACCAATAGACACAAGACACTGGGTGTGTGTGTCGGGCGGGGGCGGGGGGGAGCGGTGAGGGCTAGTGCCTGGGGATAGGGGAGGCTGGGAGGAGGTCAATGGGGGGGGGGGGGGGGAAGGAGACGTATGTACTACTAATTGTAACACCTTAAACCAGTGGTCGGCAAACTCATGAGTCAACAGAGCCAGCTATCAACAGGACAACGATTGAAATTTCTTTTGAGAGCCAAATTTTTTAAACTTAAACTATATAGGTAGGTACATTGGTATTAACTTAATTAGGGTGCTCCTAAGGCTTAGGAAGAGCCACCCTCAAGGGGCCAAAGAGCCGCATGTGGCTCGCGAGCTCCAGTTTGCCGACCACGGCCTTAAACAATAGAATAAAATAAAATAATAAAATGAAATGAAATCAAATAAAATAAATACAATAAATAAAATAAAATTAAATAAATACAATAAATAAAATGAAGTGAAATAAACTAAAATAAAATAAATAAAATAAAAATAAAATAAATAAATAAATTATATTAATAAAATAAATAAAATAAGATTAAAATAAATACAATAAATTAAATTAAATTAAAATAAATACAAAAATAAAATAAATAATAAAATAAAATAAAATAAGAAAATAAAGAAAATAAAGAAAGAAAAGCATTCACTCATTCAATTAACATATCCTTGAAACCTCCCAGGAACCCAGCCTGAACTGGGTGATTCTAGGGACACAGAGATGAGTCAGACCTGGGCTTGGCCCTTCCTGGGCTGCCCATCAGATGAGAAGGTGTGGGGGAGCTGCAGCAAGAATGGGGTGATGGGAAGGACAACAGAAGGGAGGACATGGATGAGAAAAACAACAACAAGTGAACGTTCTCCGCACTCAGCCAGGATCCGGGGATAAGAAGAGAAAGGGAAACTCACTGGTTCCAGGCAGGTGGGCCACCGGGGCCTCCTGGTGTGAGGATGTGAGGAGGGGAGTAGGTGATGGCAAGTGTGTGTGAATCCGGTTGGGACCGTATTTCTCAAACATCTTTGTGGTCTCTGCCTCTTGGGGTCTGAATCTCCTCTTCCGGGATCTTCCTGTGTCTCCATCTCCCTCTCCCTATGATTTTTTTCTCTTTCCCCGCCTCAGCCACGTCCCGTCTCCTCTGTGGCTTCTTGCCTCGGAGTCCTGCTGCTTCTCCCGCCTGCAGCCTGATTTCTGTGCAGGGCTCCTGTTCATTGGTCATTCAAGACTCCAGAGCCCGCCTTAGGGATCTTCCTCCTCACCCTCGTCCTCCCTCAGGCCACTGACTGTCCTGCATGTAGATCGGGCACCTGGAGGTCATGGGGAACGAGGGCTCCCCCTCTTTGGAGATGCCCAGGAGGGTTCTATGTCCTCAGCCCCCTTCCCCATGTAGTCAAGCTCTGGCCCAGCAGGCAGTCAGCTCTTTCTAACAGGGGATCCCCCTGGATGGCTCCCTCTCCAGGCATCCAGGCCAGGCCCCAGGGCTTCCTCCTCCCCCAGTGACATTTCCCAACCCCAATTAATCACAGGGTGGCCCCAGGGAGGAGGAAGGAGATGGCATGGTGAACCATAAAGAAGCAGGGACACCAGAGCCAGATGCCAGGACCCAGGCGCCCAGAGGTCATGCAGCTGGGATTTGTGTGTGCTCTGCTTTCTCTCCTGGCAGGTGAGGCTCCTGCCATCCTCCCTGTCTATCCCGCGGACCCTCTAGGGCCCCAGCAGCCCCTCCACGTTGCCCTTCATGCCCCCAGCCTTCAGCTCCTGCCCTCCAGGCGTCTCTGCCTCTCCCCCCAGCCCTCCCACCTTGCTCTTCACTGACCCCCCTCTGCCTCCCACCTGCTCACAGGGAACAGCTGGGCAGACACCAGAGCCATTGGGGCTCAGGAATGCCACCCCAACTCGCAGCCCTGGCAGGCAGGCCTCTTCTATGTCACGCGCAACCCCTACCGCTTATTGTGCGGGGCGACCCTCGTCAGTGACCGCTGGCTGCTCACAGCTGCCCACTGCCAAAGGCCGTGAGTGATCGCTCTGGGGAGGGCGCCGGGGATAAGAGAAGGTGAGGGGGGCAAGGGCCCCTGGGAGAGGAGGGAGGGAGCTGGAGGCAAGAAGGGATGAGCTTCTGTTTCTGTTCCCAGAAGTTCAACTCAGAATTACAAAGAGTCAACTTTTCCTAATTCTAGAGTTTTAAAGAATCTGGTTCTAAGAGTCTAAGACTGGAAATTTGCAGTCTTTGGATCCTCGACTCTGACCCAGAGGAATCTAGAACCGTCGACTCCTAAAATCTTGGGTCCATGAGATTGCACAGGAGCCTCAGAGAATTCTAGAATCTTAGAAGTCCAGAGCAGCGCTGGCAATGAAATATAGCACTAGCCATTTAACCTTTCTAGTAGACATGTTGCAAAAGAAAATCAAGAAGATTTTATTTTAATAATAGATTTACCTACGTACTCAAAATATTATTTTAACATGTAATCAATGTTTAGATGCCTACAAATGTCATTGTTAACTCTTTATGGTGTAAGCCTTTGAAACTGGACATGTATTTTGCACATATGACACATCTCAATTTGAACTAGTTGTACTGGATAAGAGCAATACTAGAATCTTAGAGTAGTCCAGCTAAATTCATCGACTGCAGACGCTCATAATCCTAGAATACTGTGATTTGTACCATTCCAGAATCTTGAAGCAAGAAAATTCTAGAAGGTTATATTCATCAATGTCTAGAATTTGTCGCATTTAACATCCACAGAATGCTATCATTCCAGATTCTTAAAATCTCCACACTTTTAAGTCAGAGAATTCTAGAGTCTCCAACTGCTTGAATCCTAGATTTTTCAATTTCCAAAATCAATAGACTCATAGAATTCTAGAATGATGATATTCTCATCGGATTGTCCCAAAATATTAAAATTCTAGGCTCATTAAGTCCTAGGTTTAACTCAGATAATTTTAAAATCCTAGAATTTTGACCTCGAGGAATCTAGAACAGGATAATCTTGGATTCATGACATTCTAGAACTTGAGCCTCAAAGAATTCTAGAATTTGTAGGTTCCTAAGGGGTTAGAATCCTAGAGTCCTGGGCATTCTGATAGAATCCTAGAATTTCCATGAGGCAGAAACCCTGTCTGCATATCTCTGGAAAGGGGGCTGCCTACCCTGTTCTGATGTTCTTCCCTCCAGGAATGAAGAACAGGTGTTGCTACGGGATGCTATGTGGGAATTTCCCATCATGCATTGCTCCATGATGGGGCCTCTTTCAGCTCAAGGTCTGTCTAGGAGAGCAAAGTTGGGATTTCAGCCCCAAAGATGAAGGAGGCGAAAAGAAGAGATACGGATGAGAGGCAAGGATGAGTTCGGGTGAGGGAAAGGCCAATTTCCCAGACCCAGAGCCCCAGCACAGAGATAGAAATAACTTCACACTCCTCAAACACGGCGTTCTCAGACATTAGCCTGGCCCCTCACGTGAGAGGTCAGAGGCTGGGGGTTGGACATGCAGGCCACCAGAAGGTCCCCAGCTGTCCAGGACACGAACCCAGAGTAGAGGATGTAAACTAAAACAGCAGTAAGAAGACAGGAGGTCAAACCTCAGGAGGAAAGGCATTGAGGGGTTGGCGATACGGCCGTCAAGAAAAGCCGGGGGCCACAGGTGACCCCAAAGTTGGGGATTTTCCATACCCCATCCGCCGGCCACTCCCCACAGAACCACCAGGGGTGGGGCTGTTTTTGTGTTGTAGGTGGAGCCCCTGTGTGCCTACACGGTGCCAGGGAACCCAGGTCACCGGCAAGGCTGCAGGTGGGGCAATGAAGAAGATGGCTCAGGTGGCATGGACCTAGGACATGGTGTGAGGGAGACCTACAAAAGCAGAGGCAGACAAAGGGATGGGGTGGGGATCAGGAGCCCAGAGAGGGCGTGTGCCTGGCTTAAAATCACACAGCACTCTTGGGTTGCACATATGATGGGGACCCAGGAAGGATATATATATATACTTTGTGGAGAGTCACACAACACCTGAGGTCTGTCCCAGCAGGTTTCTGTGGGTCCGCCTGGGGGAGCATCACCTCCAGAAAAGGGAGGGCCCAGAGCAGCTGTTCCGGGTCATGGACTTCTTCCCCCACCCTGGGTTCAAGCAGAACCGTATCACCCAAGACTACAAGGATGACATCATGCTGATCCGTCTGCCCAGGAAGGCACGCCTGGGGCCTGCCGTGCAGCCCCTCAACGTCAGTGAGACCTGCGTCTCCCCCGGCACCCAGTGCCTCATCTCAGGCTGGGGGGCCGTGTCCAGCCCCACAGGTACAGCCTTGCCCATGACACACTCCCTTACGTCTCACGCTGAGGGTCTAAATCCCTCCTCCTTCTCTGTCTCTGCCTTTCATGTCTATGCTCTATCTATTGATCTATCTCTCTCTCCACCCATATGTTCCAACAAATCTAAGATGCTATCCTATATAATAAAGAGGTAATATGCAAATTGTTTGTCACGCCCTCACAAGATGGCTGCCTATGACCAGGCTGGCAGGGGGTTAGTGAGGGACAACCAAACGACTGAACAGCAGGCTGCATGGGGTGACCAGGTTGGTGGGGGGGCCATGAGGGGCAACCAGGCTGGCAGAGGGGACAGTTTGGGGCAACCAGGCCAGCAAGGGGGGGTAGTAAAAGGTGACCAGGATGGCAGAGGGAAGTAGTTGGGGGCAACCTGGCTGGCAGCAGAGGGCAGTTAGGGGCGACCAGGCCAGCAGGGAGGCAGTTAGGGGTGATCAGGCCAGCACGCAGAGGCAGTGAGGGGCGATCAGGCTGGTGGGGGGGGGGGAGGCCTGTTAGGGACGACCAGGCAGGCAGGCAGGTGAGCGATTAGGAGCCAGTGGTCCAGGATTGTGAGAGGGATGTCTGACGGCCAGTTTAGGCCCGATTCTGGGGATTGGGCCTAAACCAGCAGTCGGACATCCCCCGAGGGGTCCCGGATTAGAGAGGGTGCAGGCTGGGCTAAGGGGACACCCCCTCCCCATGCACGAATTTCATGCACTGAGCCTCTAGTAAATTATAAGGTGCATCATTACTTCACTGAGAATGGGGGTCCCACTGATCCTTGTGAGACCACATTTACTGGGAGACACCTCCTGATTTCAGGGTGTTTAAATGTGCAAATATATGCATCTTAGAATCCAAATAAGGTCGCCTATTCTCAGAGTCAGAAATCAAAGGCCTATTAGCCAAATTTGGCTTCCCACATTAGTGCTGGTTTTCCCAGTGTCTTGAAAAATAATGTCTGACTTTGTTGCTGCCAACATCTACAACCTGGGCAATTCTGCATAAAAGCTGAGTGTCTGGATTCGCTTGGGAAGAACTTGGGGCAATGCTGGACCCATGTTTCCCAAAGACCGACCACTGTTGGATAGAGAGAGTGGAGGTGGCCCCTGCAGATCGAACCACAACAGAGCCTGGCACCCCACTTCCATTTACCCACCAGGCCCCTGGGTGCATCTGAGTTGGCACCCAGGCATTGTATATATTGACATATGTGTGTCTATATTCATATCTATCTCTATGTGCTGTAACCTCCTCTATCTCTACCTCGTATCTCTAAATCTTTCTCTCTCTCTGTATCAATGACCATCTCCCCGATAAATGTCTCCTCCTGTTTAATTCGGGGCCTTCTCACTGGATATCTGTGGGCCTGTTTCTATTTCTGTATGGCCTCCTCTGAGAATTTCTTTCCCCTTAAAAGGTCTCTAGCTCCTGCCACGGTCTCTGTTTTTCTCCGTGTAAAATACATGCGCGTCTCTTCTCGTCTCTCGCTTCTCTGCGTGTTTCTGGTTCTCTCCTCTTCATATACGTTCAGGCTACGATTCTGTCCCTTTGTCACTGGGGCGCTTCTTGGAGAAGCAGATGCTGTGACTCCCATGGATCCCCCTTAAGAAAGGGGTTGTGGCCCTAACCGGTTTGGCTCAGTGGATAGAGCGTCGGCCTGCGGACTCAAGGTCCCAGGTTCGATTCCGGTCAAGGGCATGTACCTTGGTTGTGGGCACATCCCCAGTAGGGAGTGTGCAGGAGGCAGCTGGTCGGTGTTTCTCGCTCATCGATGTTTCTAACTCTCTATCCCTCTCCCTTCCTCTCTGTAAAAAAAATCAATAAAATATATTTAAGAAAGAAAGAAAGAAAGAAAGAAAGGAAGGAAGGAAGGAAGGAAGGAAGGAAGGAAGGAAGGAAGAAAGAAAGAAAGAAAGAAAGAAAGAAAGAAAGAAAGAAAGAAAGAAAGAAAGAAAGGGGTTGTGTGTGCTGCCCTGGCCGGTTTGGCTCAGTGGATAGAGCGACAGCCTGCAGACTGAAAGGTCCCGGGTTCGATTCCAGTCAAGGGCACATGCCCGTGTTGCAGCTTGATCCCCAGTAGGGGGCGTGCAGGAGGCAGCCGATCCGTGATTCTCTCTCCTCATTGATGTTTCTATCTCTCCATCTCCCTTCCTTCTGAAATCAATTTAAAAAAAAATTATTTTTTTTTAAAGAAAGGGGTTGTGTGTGCTGAGTGAGGTGGGTACAGCAGCTGATCCTTGGTGACCGCTTTCCACAACAGTGCATTTCCCAGTCACGCTGCAGTGTGCCAACATCAGCATCCTGGAGCCCAGACTCTGCCAGCGGGCATATCCCGGCCAAATCTCCAAGGGCATGCTCTGTGCCGGCCTGTGGGAGGGGGGCCGCGGCTCCTGCCAGGTGAGATGTACTCTGGGGAGGCGGTGGAGGATGGGGATCCTGCTATGACACTGAGGCCTGGGAGAGGATGGGGCCAGCACCAGAATTTGTGGATCTAAAAAAGCGGGGAGAGTTGGGGGTCTGAGCTCCAAGTCCTGGGGGAAGAGGGTGCTAGGGGCCCAGAATGCTAGGTCCCAGGGAGGGGTGAAGGCTGTGAGCTTTTCCTCCTGGGTCTGAGGGAGGAGGGCCTGGAGACCTGGATGTCTGGGTGTCAGGGGAGCGGAAACGGGGTGGTCTGTGTGATGTCATACTAGTCATGAGACGGGCCTACTAACCGTTTCTCTGCTCTTCTCCCACGCACAGGGCGACTCTGGGGGCCCCCTGGTTTGCCATGGGACTCTGGCTGGTGTGGTGTCTGGGGGCTCTGAGCTCTGCTCCCGACCTCACCACCCCGGTGTCTATAGTAGCGTTTGCCACTACGTGCGCTGGATCAGAAAGACGATGGAGGAATACTGAGCCCTCGTGCCTTGGATGACGGGGGTGGGGGGGCACAGGGTAGCGGGGGTCCAGCCTCCATGGTCTCCACCCGTGCCCTCAGCTGTCCTGGAGAGGAGCCTTCTGGATACTTAGGCTCCGCCCCCTTGGGATGGAGCAGGAAGACAGACACTTGCAGCCTCCTGGTTCCAGCTCTAAGACGTCAGCAAGAACTACCACCTTGTGGAACAGCACCACCTGGTGGCTCAACCCCAGGATGGCAATAGCCCCGCCCCTCGGAACTTTGCCCAATGAGAGGTCTCTGCTGGACTCCAGCCCGTGTGTGTGTGTGTGTGTGTGTGTGTGTGTGTGTGTGTGTGGCCCCGCCTCCTTTGTCAGAGTCCCCGTCCCCATGACGTCAGGGGTGCTATAGCTTTCCCCCATTGGCGGGCAGGAAGGGTCTGGTCCCGCCCCTCATGGCCCTGCTTTGGGCGGGTCCTGGGTTTGAATCCTGCCCTGGACCATCTGGGAGAAGTCGAGGGGAGGGTCTGGGTTTCTGCAGATCCAATGGGTGGTTTTGCAATAAAGGCATGGAGCCCTTTCTGCTTTCTGCTTGGGTCGTGGGATGGAGGAAGGGCAATGAGAGGGTGTTGGAGGGCCCAACGGGTACGGCCACTGGAGGAGGCCAATGGGGGGGGGGGGGGAGAATGGGGAACATCTGTCCTACTGTCAATAAGAATCCTATATAATAAAAGCCTAATGTGCTAAGTGTCTGACCGTTCCACCATTCAACCAGTCGCTATGGCATGCACTGACCACCAGGGGGCAGACCCTCTGATCAGTAGGTTAGCTTGCTGCTGGGGTCCAGCCAATGGGGATGGGCAAGACAAGCCAGACACGCCTTGGAGCCCTCCCACAGCCCCCCCACCCAGGCCCCCATCGTGTACTGGTGAGGTCCCTCGGCCTGGCCTGGGCTCTCTCCCAATCCAGGACCCCTCGGGGGGTGTTGGAGAGCTGGTTTCAGTGGATTTCCGCAGGCCAGGTCGAGGGACCCCACTGGTGCACGAATCTGTGCACCGGACCTCTAGTAATAATTTAATTTCCCTTGAGCCCTTCCTAGGTCCTGCCTGAAGTGTGTCCCCATCAGCCCTATTGCAGCAAGCCTCCTGGGTTCTGCTCAGGCTGGTCCGGTCGCCCCCAGGGGAAGGGGAAACCAGGTCACGGTGCCTCCCAAACCTGCCTGCCCAGGCCAGACAGCTCAGGGGACAGCGGGCAGGGCTGATCCACCCTCAGGTTCCTGACCAAGAAGACTTGTTTTTCTTCTATTCGGGGTTATTGGCGGCAGCAGCAGCAGCCCCCCTCCCCCCTCAGTCCCAAAGTCTGGGCCCCAAGCCCTCTCATCCTTGTATGCAGGATCCAGACATCCTCCCCCTCCTCATTCAGACCCAGGAGGCTAGGCCCCCAGCCCCGGCCTCGCCCAGACCCAGACGTCTGAGCCCCCAGTCCTTTCTGTTTCTGACCCAGGAGTCACAGCACTGAGCTCCTCTCCCTGGCCTCTGCAACCCGAGAATCCAGCCCAGCTGTGGGCAAACTATGGCCCGCGGGCCGGATCCTGCCCGTTTGAAATGAATAAAACTGAAAGAAAAAAAAAGACCGTACCCTTTTATGTAATGATGTTTACTTTGAATTTATATTAGTTCACACAAACACTCCATCCATGCTTTTGTTCCGGCCCTCCGGTCCAGTTTAAGAACCCATTGTGGCCCTCGAGTCAAAAAGTTTGCCCACCCCTGATCCAGCCCCTCCTCCCTGGAGAATTTCCCTTCAGCCCCTCAGCCCCGCAGCCCCCCCTCCCTCCAGCCCAGGGTGCTCTGTCAGCTCAGGGCGGGAGGAGGCGGAGCAGGAGGCGGGGAGTCCCAGTAAAAAGGCTCCAGGTCCCTGGACCAGGCAGAGTGAGCTCCTGGGGCCTCTTCCTCTGGGTCAGAATCAGTAGGTGGCCCCGCCCCCTGGCCTCTCAGAGCCTGGCACCTGGACCCGGGCCCCTCCTCCTTCAGGCCCAGGACTTTAACCCCAGATCCCCTCCTCCTTCCAGCCCCGGGAATCTGAGCCCCGAGGAGTCCGGGATACTAACTCCCTTCTCCCTGGGAACCTAAAAATCCAGACCCGCAGCCCCCACTCTTCTCAGATTCAGGAATAGGGGGCCCCACCCCCTTCTAACTCAGACCCTTCCTCCCACCAGACCCAGAAGATGCTCTGCTCCCCTGGACCCCCAATCCCACGAACCTACTAGGATTTCAGGCTCCCCTCTCCTCCTCTCAGCCCAGGATCTCCCTCCCCCAGGCCTCAGCATGGGACGCCCACCGCCTGCTGCCATGTGCTCCTGGATCTTCCTGCTCTTGCTGCTGGAAGCCTGTGCAGGTGAGGAGGGCCGGACGGCACCGGTGGTGAGTGTGCGCCTGTGTGCACGCCGTGGTGGCTGTGTGGGTGCCTGTGGTGGGTGAGGGAGGTGTGAGGTGTGTGATCGCATGTGGGGGCTCTGGGGCTGGCTTTGGTGGGGGCGGGCGGAGGCATGGCTCTGGGGACAGCAGGTAGGAGAGTCAGGGGATGCTGCAAATCTGCATGAGCACACCTAGCTTGCGGGCTGCTTGCCGAGGGGTGCAGATACCCACGGGAGTGTAGGAGCATGTGGGAGCATGTGCAAGTGTGTGATGACTCAGGGGCTTCCATTGTTATCGTGGTAATTAGCTAGTTAACTTTATTTTTTAATGTTTTTTAATTTAATTAATTGACTTCTTTTTATTGGTTTCAAGAGAGGAAGGGAGAGAGAGAAAAAAGCATCAATGATGAATCATTGATCGGCTGCCTCCTCCACGCCCCCTACTGGGGATGGAGCCTGCAACCCGGGCATGTGCCCTTGACCGGAATTGAGCCTGGGACCCTTCAGTCCGCAGGCTAATGCTCTATTCACTGAGCCAAACCAGCCAGGGCCAGCGAGTTAATATTAACAAAGAAAGCAAAGGGAATTCAGACATCGTAAGCATGGTCACCTGGGAAGTTTCACCAGGAAGCTACAACTTCCACAGTATTGTTCCTCCAAGCGGACTCACACCCCTCCGTCCCCCATCCCGAGGTTGGGGGTGGAAAGGGCAAGTTAAACCAGTGAAGTCAGGATGGCATATGGAAGGCGCTTGCCTGTCAGTCTCACCTGGGAAATGCTGGAGTGTCTAGGGCAGCAGTTCTCAATCTGTGGGTCGCGACCCCTTTGGGGGTCGAACGACCCTTTCACAGGGGTCGCCTAAGACCATCGGAAACACATATATAATTACATGTTGTTTTTGTGATGAATCGCGATGCTTTCATGATGTTCAATTTGTCACAGTGAAATTGGGGGTCACCACAGCATGAGGAGCTGTATTAAAGGGCCACGGCATTAGGGAGGTTGAGAACCACTGGTCTAGGGGGTGGCCCCATCAGAAGCTCCTGGAATCTTGGAAAGTTAATAGGTCAGTTTGAAGAAGCTCCTGGTTAAAATCCCCCGACAAAGAGTCCCTTCTCTCCTGCTCTCTTTAGCTCCACGACCCCACTGGCAGCTGCATGCCCGGCTTCTCCCTGCAGAGCCAGGTGGACCTCGCACGCAGGACACTGGCCTGGGCAGGACGCTCACATGGAGCAGAAGCCAGGGGCAGCGGCCTTTATCCTGGTCCTGCGGAAGATGAGACCGGATGTGTTCCGTGGTGGGATGGAGGGAAACGGGACATGGGGAAAGCAGGGGTTTGTTTCCACACCCATAAGCATCGCTCTCCTCCTGTGCCCGTCTCAGGAAACTCTTTTCCTTGAGACATAGCAAGAACTCCACCGCCCCCAATAACACAATGAGTGTCCGTGTGATTCCATGTGGCAGCTTGTGCAAGCCGGGAGCCCAACACGGGAGGGTGTGTGGACACGGGAGGGTGTGTGGACACGGGAGGGTGTGTGGACACGTGAGGAGACAGGCAGAGAACCTGGGTGTGTCCCTTTGAACCCACAGCGGTTTTCCTGCCCTCCTCCTCCCTCATCCCCCCGCTACACTGCCCCAGGGGTGGCGATCCACCCCTCTCCCTCCTGCTGCAGGGCACTGGAGGGCACAGGAGAGCAAGGTACTGGGGGCCAGGGGCTCAAGGCCCATTCGCAGCCTGGGAAGGCGGCTCTGTTCCAGGGCATTCAGCTGTCATGTCAGGGTGTCTTCATAGATGTCACAACTGGGTCCTCACAGAAGCCCACTGTAAAAAATAAAAATAAAAAAATTGTGGGTGGCCCTGGCTGGTGTGGCTCGGGTGGCTGAGCAGGGTGTCATGCACCAAAAGGTCACCAGTTCAATTCCCATCAGGATGCAGGTCCAGGTTTGGGGCTGCATCCCCAATAGGGGGCGTGCAGGAGGCAGCTGGTTGATGTTTCTCTCTCTTTCCCTCTCCTTTCCTTTCTCTCTAAAATCAACAAAAACATGTATTTAAAAACCTAGCCGGTTGGGCTCAGTGGATAGAGCGTCGGCCTGCGGACTGAAGGGTCCCAGGTTCGATTCTGGTCAGGGCACATGCCCGGGTTGCAGGCTCGATCCCCAGTGGGGGGCGTGCAGGAGGCAGCCGATCAATGATTCTTATCATTGATGTTTCTATCTCTTCCTCCCTCCCTCCTTTCCTCCCTCCCTCCCTCCCTCCCTCCCTCTTGCTTCCTCTCTGAAATCAATAAAAATATGTTTTAAAAAAACAAAAACCTGAATGGATGCTTGGCCTGAGGTGGGTTTGGCCTAAGGAAAGAGGGGGCTGTATTTTCACATCAGGGAAGAGAAACTGGGGACGGAGTTTCTAACAGAGGAGGCTTGGGGGCCTGGGCCTGAGAAGCTGAAGGGCTCCAACTCCTGGGTCTGAGGGAGGAGGGGCTGGGGGTCTGGACTCCTGGGTCTGAGGGAGGAGGGGCTGGGGGCCTGGACTCCTGGGTCTGAGGGAGGAGGGGCTGGGGGCCTGGACTCCTGGGTCTGAGGGAGGAGGGGCTGGGGGCTTGGACCCCTGGGTCTGAGGGAGGAGGGGCAGGGGGCCTGGACACCTGGGTCTGAGGGAGGAGGGGCTGGGGGCCTGGACTCCTGGGTCTGAGGGAGGAGGGGCTGGGGGCCTGGACACCTGGGTCTGAGGGAGGAGGGGCTGGGGGTCTGGACTCCTGGGTCTGAGGGAGGAGGGGCTGGGGGCCTGGACTCCTGGGTCTGAAAGAGGAGGGGGCTGGGGGCCTGGACCCCTGAGTCTGAGGGAGGAGGGGCTGGGGGCTTGGACCCCTGGGTCTGAGGGAGGAGGGGCTGGGGGCTTGGACCCCTGGGTCTGAGGGAGGAGGGGCTGGGGGCTTGGACCCCTGGGTCTGAGGGAGGAGGTGCTGGGGGCCTGGACCCCTGGGTCTGAGGGAGGAGGGGCTGGGGGCTTGGACCCCTGGGTCTGAGGGAGGAGGGGCTGGGGGCCTGGACTCCTGGGTCTGAGGGAGGAGGAGCCGGGGCCTGGGCTCCTGGGTCTGAGGAGGAGGGGCTGGGGGGCTGGACCCCTGAGTCTGAGGGCGGCGGGGCGGGGGCCTGGGCTCCTGGGTCTGAGAGAGGAGGGGCTGGGGGTTTGGACCCCTGAGTCTGAGGGAGGAGGGGCTGGGGGCCTGGACTCCTGGGTCTGAGGGAGGAGGGGCTGGGGCCTGGGCTCCTGGGTCTGAGGGAGGAGGGGCTGGGGGCTTGGACCCCTGGGTCTGAGGGAGGAGGAGCCGGGGCCTGGGCTCCTGGGTCTGAGGAGGAGGGGCTGGGGCCTGGGCTCCTGGGTCTGAGGAGGAGGGGCTGGGGGGGGCTGGACCCCTGAGTCTGAGGGAGGAGGGGCTGGGGCCTGGGCTCCTGGGTCTGAGAGAGGAGGGGCTGGGGGCTTGGACCCCTGGGTCTGAGGGAGGAGGGGCTGGGGCCTGGGCTCCTGGGTCTGAGAGAGGAGGGGCTGGGGGCCTGGGCTCCTGGGTCTGAGGGAGGAGGGGCTGGGGGCCTGGACTCCTGGGTCTGAGGGAGGAGGATCTGGGGGCCTGGGCTCCTGGGTCTGAGGGAGGAGGGGCTGGGGGCCTGGGCTCCTGGGTCTGAGGGAGGAGGGGCTGGGGGCCTGGACTCCTGGGTCCAAGGGAGGAGGCGCTGGGGGCCTGGGGCCTGGGATGGGAACAGCCTGGGTGTCTGGACTCCTGGGTCTGAGGGAGGAGGGGCTGGGGCCTGGACCCCTGGGTCTGAGGGAGGAGGGGCAGGGGCCTGGACTCCTGGGTCCGAGGGAGGAGGCGCTGGGGGCCTGGGGCCTGGGATGGGAACAGTCTGGGTGCCTGGACTCCGGGGTCCTGGAGCATTGGGGCTGGACCCGGGAGAACCTGGTGTTTCCTCACATCAGTGAAATACAACAAGGGCCTGAGCTGCTCCAGGGTCAGCATCCTGAGCCCCAGGGAGTGTGAGGTCTTCTACCCGGGCGTCCTCACCAACAACATGCTGTGCGCGGGACTGGACCAGGGCCAGGACCCCTGCCAGGTAGGGCCTGCCCGGGGAGGGCCTCTGACCGGTGGGAGTGGGCAGAGGGAGGTGACAGGGGAGCAGAGGGTCCACCCTTGTCCCCAGTCCCCCAGCCACCCAGCCACACAGCATCCCCCCGCCCAACCCTCTCCCACCCCTACCTCGGCCTCATCCCTGCCAACAGAACTTGGTCCAAACCTATATGCAAATCTCATGAGTTTATTGGAGTCAAAATCTTGAGGACTTGCCCGGCAGGAGATCTCCAGGGATTGAGAAAAAAAACAACACAAAAGACCTGTCTGCCTTTGTAACGATAATATCTAGTTTCCAATAAGCTTATCTAAATAATCTATTAGCCAGTTAACTGCCACGCGTCCAACACGGAAACCATCCCCGCACATCAAGATATTTTGAATTGAAATTTTTAAAAAAAATCAATTTGCAATGAATATTATAAAAATAAATATATTACTCACACTACGGGTGTCCTTGAATATTTTCCGTTGAAAATTCTCATGGGGAAAAAAAAAAAAGATTTTAAAGCAACTACAGAGGGGGCGAACAAAGGGTTAAAATACAAATTCTGAGGAATGAATCTTACCTAAGCCGATCAGCTTAACTCCAGTCACCTGTGGTTTACTGAATCTGTAAATTTTACTGAATGCCTGTCTCCATTAAAATAACTCTCTTAAGCCCGGCCAGCATGGCTCAGTGGTTGAGCATCGACCTATCAACCAGGAGGTCACGGTTCAAATTCCCGGTCAGGGCACGTGCCCGGGGTTGCGGGCTCCATCCTCAGTGCAAGGCGTGCAGGAGGCAGTGGATCAATGATTCGCTCTCATCATTGATGTTTCCCTCCCTTCTGCTCTGAAATCCATGAAAATATTTTTCCAAAAAATGTCAGGAAGTTTGCTAAGACATCATAAAATACGTTTGCCAGCCGAGGGAATGCCAGTGACTCATTTTTACGTTTTCTATCTTCTAGCTCTACTGAAGTCCTCGCTGGACATTCTCCAGGACCCGTTTAAGGGATGTGGGACTTTGGAAACGGAGGCATGTCATTTCCACAGGTAAATATCACTCCTTATCCTGAGCCAGCCTTAGCAGGCTCTTTTTCTGAAGACGTCGCAAGTACCACAGCCCCACCAGCAGTGGACGAATCCCACCCACGTAGTCCTCCGATAACATCATGATCTGCAAACAGCTCCTGGGGACAACGTGTGTGGCTCTGTGTCCTGGGGAGAAAAATGCAGGGCAGTCCCCCATCCTACCCCCTCACACACCCCAGAGCCAATGGGAGCATCACAGGGCCCACCCCCCTCGGAAGTTCCTTGAAGCATCACTGCACCTCTTCCTCCTTCCCTCCTCCCACTGTGTCCCATGTCTGGGCCCACCCAACACCAGCTGGTCCTGTATAGCAGGAGCCGGGCTGGCTCTGAGTCACCTGGTACCAGCTGGCCTTCCTGGGGCCACTGGAACCCAAGAGACGTCACCCTGTCTCCGCCCCAGCCTCTAAGGCCAGAGGAACTCTCCTCACCGCTGTGTTACATCCCCACAAAGAAGCCCGCTGACGTGTAGGGGAAATGGTTCCGTTTGCTTGTGAAATCCAACGGCATCCCTTCACCCACCAAAAGCTGCAGTCGCAAGCTCACCGCGTCTCCATGCTCAGCCCTCACCCAACGCCCATAACCCAAGGCCAGCTCCATCCTCCAGACCGCACTCCCGAAACGGCTTTGGGATTTTGCTTGAAAAACGTGGGAAGAAGGGTTCATTTCCCCTCTCGGGAACTGTCTCCGTGTAAATATTCCTGTGCCAGGAGTGGGACTGGGGAGGTGTGGGGCGATGATACTGAGTCCAGGCAAAGTCAGCAAATGTTCTTGCACCTCCACTTAGCCTGGCGTTTGGAGCGGAAACGTAAGCCGACCCTGTGAGCCACAGAAATTCTCCATCCAGCACAGGCGGTTCTTGTGTCCCCATTCGCACACCAGTTTGTTGAGCGTTTATTGGCTGGCAGGCCGGGTGCTGGGCTGGGAACAGAGCGGTGACCACACGGCCGCTGCCCCCGCAGACGACTGGTGCACAGTCCCTGGCACGGACTCCTCCCTGCTCCCATCAGCACACCCAGGAAACCATCATGAAGCATCAGCTGAGTCTGTTATGGGAGGATCGGAAGCAAAGTGGGCGGGGACTTGAACACTTGATTCATTTCCAAAGGCCGTTCACCCATTTCTTTAGTCATGTCTCCAGAGTTTATGGAATCCTGTCCTACGTCAGTTCCCCGGGGTGACTGGGCCCTGCCCTCACGGAGCTGCTACGCAGGTCAGGGAGACAGGCAGATCTTACATTCTGGGCATGCAGGTCTTCACGCCAAGGTGCCTTCCTCAGAGGCCCTCCAGGATTGCCCTGGCTAAAGGGGTTCCCCTCAAGTCACCAATCTATTGCTGTGTTTATTTTTAATTTATTTATTTTTGGAGCACGTGTCATAGCAGAAACTATCTCATTTATTTGTTTACTCCCAAATGATCTGTCCCCTTCCTCCTCCCACCCAGTCCATGAGGGCAGGGAGTCTCATTTATTCACTTGTGTTTTTCTAAGCACCTAGTCAGTACCTGGTACACAGAAGCCACTCAATACATTTCTTTAAAATATTTTTTATTGATTTTAGAGAGGAAAGGAGAGAGAGACAGAGAGAGAGAGAGAGAGAAAACCAACAAGGATGAGAGAGAAACATTGATTGGCTGCCTCCTGCACACCCTGCCCTAGGTATCAAGCCTGCAACCTGGGCATGTGACCTGACCAGAATTGAACCGTGACCTCCTGGTTCATAGGTCGACACGCAACCACTGAGCAACACCGGCTGGGCAATACACTGTTGAAATAAAAAAAACTAATAATAACATAAATCGGTCAATGCTGTCAGAGAAAAAGGTACAGTGTGCCCCGAGGAGGGGCCAAGGTCTCTTCTGTTTTTTAAAAAATGTATTGTTACTGATTTCAGAGAGGAAGGAAGAAGGAGAGACTGACAGAAACATCAATGATGAGGATCATTAATTGGCTGCCTCCTGCACCCCCCCTAATGGGGATCAAGCCTGCAACCTGGGCATGTGCCCTAACCAGGAATCAAACCATGACCTTCTGGTTCATAGGTCAATGCTCAACTACTGAGCAACATTGGCCAGGCAATATATATATTGGCCAGGAATATATATCCTATATAATAAAGAGCTAATATGCAAATGGTTGTCACGTTGTCACGCTGTCACGCCGCCACGGCTCAAACAACACTGGGGAGAGAGGAAGGAGGACCAGCCAGGCACAAATGAGCTCCTGAGAGAGGAATGGGGACCGGCTAGGCTGTGGCCTGGGAGAGGGACAAGTCGTCCGCCCCATGCTCCCGGGTGCCAGTGGCTGCGTCTGGACCTGTGGCCTGGGAGAGGGACAAGCCACACCCCCCCGTGGTCCCAGGTGCCAGCACCTGCACCTATGGCCTGGGAGAGGGACAAGCTGCCCGTCCTGAGGTCCCAGGCCCCAGCACCTACGGCTGTGGCCCAGGTGAAGCTACCCGCCCATGGTCCCCTGCAGCTGCGGCCGGCCCGGACAAAGCTGGCACAGGTCCTGAGTGCCTGCAGCCACCCAGAGGAAGAGAAGCCCAGGTCCTGGGTGCCTGCGACCGGCTGGAGGAGAGCATCCTGGGTCATGGGTACAGGGCAAGGCAGAGGTGGTTAGGGGCAATCAGACCAGCAGGGGAGCAGTTAGGGGCTATCAGGCAGGCAGGCAGGTGAGCAGTTAGGAGTCAGCAGTCCCGGATTGCGAGAGGCAGTCGGACATCCCCCGAGGGGTCCTGGATTGCAGATGGTGCAGGCCGGGCTGAGGGACCTCCCCCCCCCCCCCCGCACGAATTTCATGCACTGGGCCTCTAATATATATATATATATATATATATATATATATATATATATATATATATATATATATATATATATATACATACACACACACACACACACACACACACACGGTTGATTTCAGAGAGGAAGGAACAGGGAGAGATAGAAATATCAATGATGAGAATCATTGATCAGCTGCTTCCTGCACGCCCCCTACTGGGCATGGAGCCCACAACCTGGGGGTGTGCCCTGACCAAGAATTGAACCATGACCTCCTGGTTCCTAGGTTGATGCTCAACCACTGAGCCACGCTGGCCAGGTGGCAAGGTCTCTCCTTAAAGGAGTCAGGGATGTCTTCTCAGATGAGGAGGCATTGCATGGGTTGCTGTTTTCTTTAATCCTCACTCTAGGATAAGTTTTTCTTGACTTTAGAGAGAGAGGAAGGGAGAGAAACATTGATGTGAGAGAGAAACATCAATTTGTTGCCTCCTCTAAAAGCCCCGACCTGGGACTGAACTCAAAACCCAACCATGTGTCCATACGGGGAACTGAACAGGCAACCTTTTGGTGTATGGGATGAAGCGCCAACCAACGGAGCCACCCAGCTAGGGCTGCATGGGGTTTTAAAGGATAAGGAGGAGTTCGCCAGTTCTGGAAGGAAATGTATTTCTATAACTTATTGTGTGACACTGACGGCTCTACCTTAATTCCCATCCCCACTTCCTGAGAAATTGAGATGAAAAAGACTTTTGTGAGAAGTAAATGAGATAGTATACATCAGCGGTTCTCAACCTGTGGGTCGCAACCCCTTTGGCGGTCGAAAGACCCTTTCACAGGGGTCGCCTAAGACCATCCTGCATATCAGATGTTTACATGACGATTCATAATGGTAGCAACATGACAGTGATGAAGTAGCAACGAAAATAATTGTATGGTTGGGTCACAACATGAGGAACTGTATTGAAAGGGCCAGAAGGCTGAGAACCACTGGTATACATGCAATGCTTACCTAACGGCCAGGTACAGAGTACACAGTCCATAAAGGCAGCTGTCAAGATGCTCTTAAAGCAGTTAGTATGACTCTTAGCACATAGTGGGTATTCAGTCCTTGGTCTCCAGACGTGCTCATCTAGAGAGGGAGCTAAGACAACTGCAGTCCTGGGAGCAGTGCAGGGCTCTGTAGGAGACGGACAGACACAGGTGTGTAATACTCACAATGTGCCAGACACTATCCTCACAAATGTGAATCAACCCCCCTACGACCTCAGCGAAGAGAGGGCCAGGGACCTGCTCAAGTTCACACACCCAGTGATTGCCAGCATTGAGGTTCGGATCCAGGTTGTCCAGGTCCAGAATTCATGCTCCAGACTGCTACGTCCTTGTGAGGACATGCAAAGGGAACCCAGACCAATTTGTCAACCAGGCTCGTGGCAGGTGGAAGAGGTGGTGAGTGCTCAGGGGAGGAAAAGAGGGACTCCGCCAGGAGAAATCACAGGAGACTCCCTGTAGGAGGTGGCATTTAGGTTGGGTCTTGAAGGATGAGTAGGAGTTCACTAGGAAAAGAAGGATATTGAGAAAGACATTCACTCATTCAATTAACATATCCAGGAATCGAGCCTGAACTGGATGATTCTGGGGAAGCAGTGATTAATCAGACCTGGGCTTGGCCCTTCCTGGGCTGCCCATCAAATGATGAAAGAGAGGAAGAGAGGCAACAAGAATGGGGTGATGGGAAGGACAACAGAGGGGAGGACATGGATGAGAAAACAAAAGACAAGAGAATGTTCTCTGCACTCAGCCAAGATCTGGGGATATAAGAGAAAGGGAAACGCGCTGGTTCCAGGCAGGTGGGCCACCGGGGGCCTCCTGGTGTGAGGATGTGAGGAAGGGAGTAGGTGATGGCAAGTGTGTGTGAATCCGGTTGGGACCGTATTTCTCAAACATCTTTGTGGTCTCTGCTTCTTTCAGTCTGAGTCAGAGTCTCTCTCTCTCTCTCTCTCTCTCTCTCTCTCTCTCTCTCTCTCTGGATCTTCCTGTGTCTCTATCTCCCTCTCCCTTTGATTTCTTTTTCTTTCCCCACCTCAGCCACATCCCGTCTTCTTCTTGCCTCTGAGTCCTGCTGCTTCTCCCGCCTACAGCCTGATTTCTGTGCAGGGCTCCTGTTCATTGGTCATTCAAGACTCCAGAGCCCGCCTTAGGGATCTTCCTCCTCACCCTCGTCTTCCCTCAGGCCACTGACTGTCCTGCATGTAGATCCGGTACCTGGAGGCCATGGGGAACGAGGGCTCCCCCTCTTTGGAGACGCCCAGGAGGGTTCTATGTCCTCAGCCCCCCTCCCCATGTAGCCAAGCCCTGGCCCAGCAGGCAGTCAGCTCTTTCTAACAGGGGATCCCCCTGGATGGCTCCCTCTCCAGGCATCCAGGCCAGGCCCCAGGGCTTCCTCCTCCCCCAGTGACATTTCCCAACCCCAATTAATCACAGGGTGGCCCCAGGGAGGAGGAAGGAGATGGCATGGTGAACCATAAAGAAGCAGGGACACCAGAGCCAGATGCCAGGACCCAGGCGCCCAGAGGTCATGCAGCTGGGATTTGTGTGTGCTCTGCTTTCTCTCCTGGCAGGTGAGGCTCCTGCCATCCTCCCTGTCTATCCCGCGGACCCTCTAGGGCCCCAGCAGCCCCTCCACGTTGCCCTTCATGCCCCCAGCCTTCAGCTCCTGCCCTCCAGGCGTCTCTGCCTCTCCCCCCAGCCCTCCCACCTTGCTCTTCACTGACCCCCCCTCTGCCTCCCACCTGCTCACAGGGAACAGCTGGGCAGACACCAGAGCCATTGGGGCTCAGGAATGCCACCCCAACTCGCAGCCCTGGCAGGCAGGCCTCTTCTTCCGCACGCACCTATTCTGCGGGGCGACCCTCATCAGTGACCGCTGGCTGCTCACAGCTGCCCACTGCTACAAGCCGTGAGTGACCGCTCTGGGGAGGAGGCGATGTGTGAGGAAAGAGTGAGGTGGACAAAGGCTCTGGGAGAGGAGGGAGGGAGCTGTGGGGCCAGAAGGGATGAGCCTCTATTTCTCTTCTCAGAAGTTCAACTCAAAATTACAAATTTGTCAACTTTTCCTAATTCTAGAGTTTTTAATCATCTGGTTCTAAGAGTCTATGATTGGAAATTTACACCCTTAGAATCCTTGACTCTGACCCAGGGTAATCCAGAACTGTAGACTCCTAAAATCTTGGATCGACGAGATTCTACAGGAGCCTCAGAGAATTCTAGAATCTTAGAAGTCCAGAGCAGCGCTGGCAATGAAATATAACACCAGCCATTTAAATCTAACATTTCTAGTAGACATGTTGCAACAGAAAAACAAGAAGATTTCATTTTAATAATGGATTTAACTTTAAATATTATTTTGACATGTAATCAATGTTTAAATATCTACAAATGTCATCGTTTATTCTTGTGTGTGTGTGTGTGTGTAAGCCTTTGAAACCGTACGTGGATTTTACATGTCTGACACATCTCAATCGGAACTAGTTGTACTGGACAGAGGAATATTAAAATCTTAGATTCAGAGTCTTCTGTCTGGATTAATCAAATACAGACACTCATAGTCCTAGAATAATACTGTGATATGTAACGTTCAGAATCTTGAACCAAGAAAATTCTAGAAGGTTTCTCTTCATAAACATCTAGAATTTGTTGGATTTAATATGGCAGAATGCTATGATTCCAGATTCTTAAAATCCCCACATTTTCATTCAGAGAAGTCTAGGGTCTCCAACTATTTGAACCCTAGATTTTCAAATTTCCAGTCAAAGCTTCGTAGAATTCCGGAATGATAACAATCTTGTGCGATTGCTTCAAAATATTAGAATTTTAGACTTGTTATGTCCTAGATTTAATTCTGATCATTTTTTTAAAACTATATATTTTATTGATTTTTCACAGACAGGAAGAGAGAGGGATAGAGAGTTAGAAACATCGATGAGAGAGAAACATCGACCAGCTGCCTCCTGCACACCTCCCACTGGGGATGTGCCCGCAACCAAGGCACATGCCCCCGGCCAGAATCGAACCTGGGACCCTTCAGTCCGCAGGCCGACGCTCCATCCACTGAGCCAAACCGGTCAGGGCAATTCTGATAATTTTTAAAACCTAGAATATTTGATCTAGAGAAATCTAGAACAGTACAATTTGGGATTCATGACATTCTAGAACATTAGCCTCACAGAAATCTAGAATTTGTGGGTTCCTGGGATGTTAGAATCCTAGAGCTTTAGATTCTGAGCATTCTAATGGAATCATGCAGAATCTACCGGAGGCAGAAATCCTGTTTGCCTCTCTCTGGAATGGAGTTGTCCACTCTGTTCTGATGCTCTTCAGGAATGAAGCGCAGGATTGTTTACAGGATGCTGTGTGGGAATGTCCCATCATGCACTGCTCCATGATGGGGCCCCTTGCAGCTCAAGGTCTGCACACCAGGCTAGATTCAGCTCCAGACACAGAGCAGGAGAAGCAAAGAGGGGTGGGGGTGGAAGGGATGAAGGGGCAAGTATGAGTGTGAGTGGGGAAAGGGCTAGTTGCAGAGGCAACACGGTGACAGAGAGACACAGAGATAGAAATAGCCTCACGCTCCTCGAACCCGGCGTTCTCCGGGATCGGCCTGGCCCCTCCTGTGAGAGGTCGGAGGTTGTGCAATGGGATGGATATGTAGACCCCCCCAGAACGTCGCCAGCTGACCAGGCCATGGACCCAGAGCAGAACAAGGGAACGAGAAACACAGCGAGAAGGCGCGAGGTTACACCTCAGGGGGAAACGCACTAGAGGGTTAGCGATAGGGCAGATCGGAAAAGCCTGAGGCCACAGCTGACTCCCGAGTTGGGGATTTTCCATATCCTATCCACCTCCTGCGAACACACTGGAAGGCACAAACAGCCACTCCTCACAGAAGCCACCAGACCTGCGGGGGCGGGGGTGGGGCTGTTTCTGTGCTGTAGGTGGAGCCCCCATGTGCTTACCTAGTTCCAGGGGACACAGGTCACCAACAAGGCAGCAGGTGGGGCAATGACGAAGGCGGACCCGTTGGCACGGACCTGGGGAAGGGTGTGACCTTTGGAGGAGAGTTACAAATGCCCAGGCAGACAAAGGGATGGAGTGGGGAGCAGAGGCCCAGAGAGGGTGTGCGCCTGGCTTAAAATCACACAGCACTCTCGGGTCGCACATACGATGGGGACCCAGAGAGGATACGGAGTGTGTGGAGAGTCACCTAACACCGTGGTGGACACGGATTTTGACCCCTGAGGTCTGTCCCTGCAGGTATCTGTGGGTCCGCCTCGGGGAGCACCACCTCTGGAAATGGGAGGGCCCAGAGCAGCTGTTCCGGGTCACGGACTTCTTCCCCCACCCTGGGTTCAACCAGGACCTTAGAGCCCAAGACCACAATAACGACATCATGCTGATCCGTCTGCCCAGGAAGGCACGCCTGGGACCTGCCGTGCAGCCCCTCAACATCAGCCAGACCTGCGTCTCCCCGGGCACCCAGTGCCTCATCTCAGGCTGGGGGGCCGTGTCCAGCCCCATAGGTACAGCCTTGCCCATGACACACTCCCTTACGTCTCACGCTGAGGGTCTAAATCCCTCCTCCTTCTCTGTCTCTGCCTTTTCATGTCTATCCTCTATTGATCTATCCCTCCACCTGTATATTCCAGCAAATCTAAGATGCTATAAATTATAAGGCGTATCATTATTGCACCTCATATTATTTATTCTCATATTATTGAGAATGGTGGGGGGTTCCATGGACCCTTGTGAGATACCATTTACTGGAACTCACCTCCTGATTTCGGGGTGTTTAAATGTGAAAAAATATATGTATCTTAGAATCCAAATAAAGCCTTCTATTCTCAGAGTCAGAAATCAAAGACCTACTAGCCAAATTTGGCTTCCCACATCTTCCCACGTTAGTGCTGGTTTTCCAAGTGTCTTGAAAAATAATGTCTGAATTTGTTGCTGCCAACATCTAAAACCTGGGAGATTCTACACAGCAGTCAGGGTTCTTACTCACATTCATTCCCACAAGAGCTACCAATATTGGAGAGAGTGCAGGTGGCCCCCTGCAGGCCAAACCACAACAGCCTCCTGTTTACCCACCAACCCCCTGGATGCACCTGAGTTTGCATCCATGTCTGTCATTTTTGCACATTATATACGTGGACATATGCATATTTATATCCATGTCTATCTCTATATGCGGTAACGCCCTCTATCTCTACCTCGTATCTCTACATCTTTATCTCTGTCAGTATCCACGACCATCTCCCCATAAATGTCTCCTCCCCTTTAACTCACAGCCTTCTCACCGGATATCTCTGGGCACATTTCTATTACTTCATGGCCTCCTCTGAGAATTTCTTTCCTCGTAAGAGGTTTCTAGCTCCTGGCATGGTCTCTATATTTTCTATGTAAATTATATATGTGCCTCTTCTTGTCTCTTGCCTCGCTGTGTCTTTTTCCCCCCCCCTCTCTGCATCTTTCTGTTTCTCTTTCTCCCTTTCTCCTTCTTCATATACATCCATTTCCCTTCTATGCTATGATTCTGTCTCTTTGTCGCTGGCTTTGTTTCTATCTTGGAGAATCTTATGCTGTGGTTCCAAGGATCCTTCTTAAGAAATGGAGGGGGAGCCCAGCCCCGTGCTTTAGTGGCTGAGCATCGACCTATGAACCAGGGGGTCACAGTTGGATTCCTGATCAGGGCATATGCCCAGGTTAGGGGCTCAATCTCCAGTAGGGGGCGTCCAGGATGCAGCCAATCAATGATTCTCTCTCATCATTGATGTTTTTCTCTCTCTTTTCCTCTCTGAAATCAATTATATATATTAGTGGCCCAGTGCATGAAATTCATGCACGGGGGCGGCGGGGGGGGTGTCCCTCAGCCCAGCCTGCACCCTCTCCAATCTGGGACCCCCCCCAGGGGATGTCTGACTGCCGGTTTAGGCCCTCTCTCAATCCGGGACCGCTGGCTCCTAACTGCTCACCTGCTTGCCTGCCTTATCGCCCCTAACAACTCTGCCTGCCAACCTGCTCGACCCCAACTGTCCTCCCTGCCGGCCTGCTCACCCCCAACTGCCCCTCCCCCCTGCTGGCTTGATCACCCCCAACTACCCTCCCCTCCTGGTCTGATCGCCCCTAACCGCCTCTGCCTCGGCCCTGCCACCATGCCTTTGTCCAGAAGGGCATCCGGAAGGTCTCCCGGTCTAATTAGCATATTACCCTATTATTAGTATAGATTTTTAAAAAGAAATGGACAGGGAGGATCCTGAATGAGACGAGTAAAGCTGCTGATCCCCTTCCCCAACAGTGGAGTACCCACTCACGCTGCAGTGCGCCAACATCAGCATCCTGGAGCCCAGACGCTGCCGGCTGGCATATCCCGGCCAAATCTCCAAGCGCATGCTCTGTGCCGGCCTGTGGGAGGGTGGCCGCGGCTCCTGCCAGGTGAGATGTACTCTGGGGAGGCGATGGAGGATGGGGATCCTGCAACGACACTGAGGCCTGGGAGAGGACGGGCCAGCACCAGGATTTCTGGGCCTAAAAGAGGAGGGAACTGGGGTGGGGTGGGGGGTCTGGTTTCTAAGTCCTGGGGGAAGAGGGTCTAGGGGCCCAGAATGCTAGGTCCCAGGGAGGGGTGAAGGCTGTGAGCTTTTCCTCCTGGGTCTGAGGGAGGAGGGCCTGGAGACCTGGATGTCTGGGTGTCAGGGGAGCGGAAACGGGGTGGTCTGTGTGATGTCATACTAGTCATGAGACGGGCCTAATCGTTTCTCTGCTCTTCTCCCACGCACAGGGCGACTCTGGGGGCCCCCTGGTTTGCCATGGGACTCTGGCTGGTGTGGTGTCTGGGGGCTCCGAGCCCTGCTCCCGACCTCGGCGCCCTGCCGTCTATAGTAGCGTTTGCCACTACGTGCGCTGGATCAGAAAGACGATGGAGGAATACTGAGCCCTCGTGCCTTGGATGACGCGGGGCGGGGCACAGGGTGGGGGGGTCCAGCCTCCATGGTCTCCACCTGTGCCCTCAGCTGTCCTGGAGAGGAGCCTTCTGGATACTTAGGCTCCGCCCCCTTGGGATGGAGCAGGAAGACAGACACTTGCAGCCTCCTGGTTCCAGCTCTAAGACTTCAGCAAGAACTATACCACCTTGTGGAACAGCACCACCTGGTGGCTCAACCCCAGGATGGCAATAGCCCCGCCCCTCGGAACTTTGCCCAATGAGAGGTGCCAGCCGGACTCCAGCCCGTGTGGCCCCGCCTTCTCCTTTGTCAGAGTCCCCGCCCCGTGACGTCACGGGTGCTACAGCCCCGCCCCCCCAATTGGCGAGCAGGAAAGATCTGGTCACGCCCCTTGCAGCCCTGCTTTGGGCCTGGGTTTGAATCCTGCCCTGGACCATCTGGGTGAAGTCCAGGGGAGAGTCTGGGTTTCTTCAGATCGAATGGGTGGTTTTGCAATAAATGCATGGAGCCCTTTCTGCTTTCTGCTTGGGTCGTGGGATGGAGGAAGGGCAAGGGATGGGCGGTGGAGCGCCGGTAGGGAACCGTCACCGCGTTGAAATTTCCCCGGGTCGGTCCTGCCTGAAGTCTGTCCCCATCAGCCCTATTGCAGCAAGCCTCCTGGGTTCTGTCAGGCTGGTCCGGTCGCCCCCAGGGGAAGGGGAAACCAGGTCACGGTGCCTCCCAAACCTGCCTGCCCAGATCCCACCCTCTCAGGGGACAGAAGGCGGGGCCGACCCGCCCTCAGGTGTCCTAACCAAGACTTGCCTGTCTTCTGTTGGGGGTTACTGGCAGCAGCCCCTCTTTGCTCTTCCCCCCATCCTCCCTCAGTCCCAAAGTCCGGGCCCCAAGTCCTCTCATCCTTGTATGCAGGATCCAGACATCCTCCCCCTCCTCATTCAGACCCAGGAGGCTAAGTCCTCAGCCCCCTTCTCTTCTCAGACCTAGACAGACGTCTGAGCCCCCAGTCCTTTCTGTTTCTGACCCAGGAGTCACAGCACTGAGCCCCTCTCTCCCTGGCCTCTGGCCCCGAGAATCCAGCCCCTCCTCCCTGGAGAATTTCCCTTCAGCCTCAGCCCCGCAGCCCCCCCTCCCTCCAGCCCAGGGTGCTCTGTCAGCTCAGGGCGGGAGGAGGCGGAGCAGGAGGCGGGGAGTCCCAGTTAAAAGGCTCCAGGTCCCTGGACCAGGCAGAGTGAGCTCCTGGGGCCTCTTCCTCTGGGTCAGAATCAGTAGGTGGCCCCGCCCCCTGGCCTCTCAGAGCCTGGCACCTGGACCCGGGCCCCTCCTCCTTCAGGCCCAGGACTTTAACCCCAGATCCCCTCCTCCTTCCAGCCCCGGGAATCTGAGCCCCAGCCTCCTCTTCCCCAAGATTCAGGAGTCCGGGATACTAACTCCCTTCTCCCTGGGAACCTAAAAATCCAGACCCACCGCCCCCTCTCTCCTCAGATTCAGGAATCGGGGCCCCACCCCCTTCTAAGACCCAGGTTCTGGGTCCCAGCCTTTTCCTCCCACAGGACCCAGAAGAACAGCTCTGGATGCTCTGCTCCCCTGGACCCCCCATCCCACGAACCTACTAGGATTTCAGGCTCCCCTCTCCTCCTCTCAGCCCAGGCTCTCCCTCCCCCAGGCCTCAGCATGGGACGCCCACCGCCTGCTGCCATGTGCACCTGGATCTTCCTGCTCTTGCTGCTGGAAGCCTGTGCAGGTGAGGAGGGCCGGACGGCACCGGTGGTGAGTGTGCGCCTGTGTGCACGCCGTGGTGGCTGTGTGGGTGCCTGTGGTGGGTGAGGGAGGTGTGAGGTGTGTGACCGCATGTGGGGGCTTCAGGGGCTGGCTTTGGTGGGGGCGGGCGGAGGCATGGCTCTGGGGACAGCAGGTAGGAGAGTCAGGGGATGCTGCAAATCTGCATGAGCACACCTAGCTCATGGGGCTGCTTGCCGAGGGCAGAAGACACACATGGGAGTGTAGGAGCATGTGGAAGCATGCTTGGGTGTGTGACTCTGTGTGATGACTCACAGAGTTCATTGAGTGTACGTGTGAATGTGTGCGGTGGTATGTGCCAGGCGGGAGCCCCACACGGGAGGGTGTGTGGACACAGGAGGGAGGCAAGCAGAGAACTTGGGGTGTGTCCCTTTGAACCCACAGTGGTTTTCCTGCCCTCCTCCCTCATTCCCCCTCCACTGCCCCAGGGGTGGCGATTCAACCTCTCCCTCCTGCTGCAGGGCACTGGAGGGCACAGGAGAGCAAGGTGCTGGGGGGCCAGCCGTGCAAGCCCAACTCGCAGCCTTGGCAGACAGCCTTGTTCCAGGGGGACCAGCTGTTATGCGGGGGTGTCCTCATAGATGACAACTGGGTCCTCACGGCAGCCCATTGTAAAAAACCGTGAGTGGGTGCCTGGGGCAGAGGTGGGCTGGGCCTGGTGAAGGAGGGGGCTGTGTTTTACCTTGGGAAAGAGAGCTGGGTACCAGGCCTCTAAGGGAAGAGGTCTGAGAGAAGAGGGAGCTGGGAGCCTGGACGCCTGCATCCCAAAACTAATCCTCATCACTACAGGAACTACACAGTCCGCTTGGGAGAGCACAGCCTGCAGAATAAGAGTGGGCCGGCACAGGAGAGGGCCGTGGCCCAGTCCATCCCACATCCCTGCTTCAGTGGCGACAGTGAGGACCATAACCACGACCTGATGCTCCTTCGACTACGTGAACCAGCATCCGCAGGGCCCAGCGTGAAGCCCATCAACCTGACAGATCACTGCCCTCAAGATGGCCAGAAGTGCACCATCTCAGGCTGGGGCACTATTACCAGCCCCCAAGGTAATTGGAGTGGAGGAGGAGCTGGTGTTCCCAGTGGACCCCAAGCCACTAGCAAAACTTTACCCCTGGAGGGACATAAGGAAGGAAATGTGACTGTGGGGTTGCAATTCACAAGTGGTCCATGTTAGGAACTTTGAAGGCCAGAATATCAATAGGATTGGTGGGAGAAAGCATAGTAACACATTGTTTAGCAGGGCTCGAAAATATGGATGGATGGATGAATCCCTCTTTTATGATGGAGAGTAACGTGTTATGAGATCTTTGTTGTATAGGATTTTATATAATCTCATTAATAGACTTGGGATACAAAGGATTTACAATGGCCCAAGAAAGCAGATTTCTCAGCCCGTTTTCCCTCTTGAACCCAAGAATACTGGCCCAGGCTCTCGGCCTCACTCGTTTATCTAAACGAATGGATAGACTCTGAAGCTCCATAAGGGCTCATGTTATATCTATTTTTTTAATTGGGCATTCCTGGTGCTCAATACGTATTTGTCGGATGATCATGTGGATGAGTGAAAGAGGGAACAAATAACTCCCTCCTTCCAAAAGCTGTTGTGAAGATTAAACGAGATGCGAGCATATAACTCCTGGCTGGTAGAGGTGCCTACGTTTCCCCACTCAAACCTACTGCTCAAAGGCAAATAAGAAAGACAAATTCCACTTACAGTCATTAAAATGCAAACACTTGTGAGGATCTGACAGGCCCCACATGCTGGACGGGATGAGTCCCTGTCCTTATAGAGTTGCATGCCAGGTGGAGGAAAATAGATAACATAGAACATGAAATATGCGAGTTGTGGCATAATGAAATACCCTGGAAGGTAAGAGGATAGGGCAGTGATGGTGAACCTTTTGAGCTCGGCGTGTCAGCATTTTGAAAAACCCTAACTTAACTCTGGTGCCATGTCACACACAGAAATTTTTTGAATTTGCAATCATAGTAAAACAAAAACATATTTCTGATATTTATTTTATATATTTAAATGTCATTTAACAAAGAAAAATCAACCATAAAAACGAGTTCGCATGTCAGCTCTGACACACGTGTCATAGGTTCGCCATCACTGGGATAGGGAGTGATAGAGGTGTGGTGTTTTATTTAAGATGGTCGGAGAAGGCGGGGGGGGGGGGAGGGAGGAAGAGGAGGAGGGGGAGGAGGAGGAAGAGGAGGAGGAGGAGGAGGAGGGGAAGGAGGAGGAGGAGGGGGAGGAGGGGGAGGAGGGGGAGGGGGAGGAGGGGGAGGGGGGGGAGGAGGGGGAGGAGGAGGAGGAGGAAGAGACGACGGAAATGGGAAGTAGAATTCAGCTGAGATTGAGAACCTGGTGGCCTGGGGGTGGGAAGACTGGAGGGAGTGGGACAGATGTGTCACAAGAGGGCACCTCCAAATCCTCCTGTCCCAACTCTTAATTTGAAAATGACTCAAGGCAAGAAACAAAAGATAGGATCCAATGGTCCGACACCAGGGGCCATGGCTCTGTTGAAGATGGTGAGAAATCATGAGCCACAAGGAATGTGCCAGAAACTACCCCTGTTCCTCCCCCCACCCCCCGCCCCCTGCAGCTGTGGATGCAGAGGAAAGGTTAGATCCAGGCAGGCATGGAGGGCAAGGGTTGCTCTCTCTGGGAGCTTACAGCCTGTACTCCCTCAGAGAGCCTTCCAGATGCCCTCAACTGTGCAGAAGTCAAAATTGTGTCCCAGAAGAGGTGTGAAGACGCCTACCCTGGGAAAGTCACCGAGGCCATGATCTGTGCCGGAGACAGCAGTGGGGCTGACTCATGCCAGGTGAGTGACTTCCTAATCAACCAATCAAAATCCCTCTGAATTAGCCAACCTGAAACCCCTTCCCCCCCCCCCCCCCCGCCACCCCCTTTCTCTCCTGGTAGAGGCTGGAGGCACCGCAGTGGGGTGACCCCAAAGGCTCGTTCCCGTCTCTATAAGGTGGGAAGAAGATTCAGAGAAGGCCACACTCTCCCTGCAGGTCACACAGCGCAGGGATCAGAAGCGTTGAGTAGTCGCTGTCGTTTTTATGGAAACCCCTGTCTGCAGGATGAGGATGAGGTTCAGGGAGGGGAAAGTTAAAGGGGGTGAGAGGATGTTTCCATGAAGGAGAGAGTCGGAGGCTACAGGGCGCACAACCTTCCGACGTTTGTGCAGACTCTGCCATCCACCAGCTACTCAGCCACTTTGATTTGGCTCCTGACTCCGTTTCTTAGCACAGCTGCCTGCTCCTGATTGGTTTCTTGGGGGAGTCATGCTCTCTTCTCAATTGGCCAGGGAAGGGTGCCATGGATTAGTCCTCCTTCAAAGACGCCTCATCCCCAAGATAACATGTCTTGGGATTTGCCACAGATGTTAACTCTCTCTTTTCCATTGGCTGCAACTCGTCTTCAGGGCTCTTCCTGGCTTTGTCCCCGGCATGGAAACCCCGCCCCCTTTGCCAATGATTGGACCCTGAAAACGATGCTCCACTGCAGTTCTTCCCCATTGGCCGGGAACACAGTCATTCCATCAGTGATCCTGCCCTGAAATCAGTTTCTGTGAATGGTTCTTAGAGAGGATGGTTTCTCCCCACAGACTCCTGCAATTATTGGCATAGGTACATGCGTGTGTGCATGTGTACAGGAACCCTGCTCTTTTTCATGTTTGGTAACTAGATTCAATGATCTGTTCACCAAAAGCCAGGAATGGAGAACACATCAGCTCAGTCCCTGATGTTTTCTCTTTAGATGGGACCCTTCAGAGCACTCTCTTCTCTCATTGGCCGGGGTTTCCCTCACCCCCCCGAGACAATTTGTCTGGTCCCTTGTATGTGGAAGACCCCACCCCACTCTCTTAACCTCTCGCTCACCCTAGCCTGCTGGGGCTGACCAGCAGACCCTAAGCAACAGATGATTACTCTGACACACGTTTCTGTGAAAGAGAGGGCCAAGGGACTGCCTGGCTAAAGGAACCAGACAGCCCCATTTGCCTGCCTCCTTAGGCTTTTACTGTAGTAACAGCTTGAACTAAACTTGACCTCTAGATCAGTAGTTCTCAACCTTCCGGCCCTTTAAATACAGTTCCTCATGTTGTGACCCAACCATAAAATTATTTTCATTGCCACTTCATAACTGTAATGCTGCTACTGTTATGAATCGTAATGTAAGTATCTGATATGCAGGATGGTCTTAGGTGACCCCTGTGAAAGGGTCATTCGACTGCCAAAGGGGTCGCGACCCACAGGTTGAGAACTGCTGCTCTAGATACTATTAGCAGGGTAAGCATCCTTGAGAAAACACCTGCATCTGTAGTGTCTTTAAAACAAGGACGTTTTGAAATCTAAACATAAAGATTCCAGTAAAACACCCAGGGGCTCAGGCTTGTTTGGAAAAATCAAGGCAGGGTCTACCACCCTCAGCAAGGTTCCCCTAGGTATCCGACCTTCCAGAGAATCCTTACAAACTTTCCAACCAAGTCCCGTGCTTCCCTACATCAACCAGCGGTTGGAACCAGGGGACAATGCTCTTGTTCCCAGTGGCTGGGGGGCCAATCATGCAGCAGAGCTGGTGCTAAATGCTGGGTATCTTAGGTGAAACTCTCCCCCTACTCCCCTGCAGGGCGATTCCGGGGGCCCATTGGTGTGTGGTGGAGTTCTCCAAGGGATCACATCCTGGGGATCGGACCCCTGCGGGCAGCCCCAGAGGCCTGGTGTCTACACCAACCTCTGCCGCTACCTCGACTGGATCAAGAAGACCATGGGCAGCAGGAGCTCAGCCTAGGACAAGCTTTGGATCCCTCAATAAACCAAAAACCATGGCCTGGCTCTTTGCCTGTCTTGCTTTGGCCCTGCTGGGAGTGTGGAGAGACAGAATCTGTGCACTATGGGAGGCTTGACAGGAGGTCTAGAGAGACCAGGACCCCAAGGCCACTCTGGCCATTACCACTGCCTGAAAGGACCCCGTTTTCCTGGAAAGAGTTGGAGGAAGGGGAGATTAATTTCAGGGGAGAGAAAACATGTAAGAATTTTTTAAAACCTTTATTGTTGTATTACATATGTCCCCCTTTTTCCATTAACCCCCTCCAGCCCGTCCCAGTCCCTCACCACCGCACTATCTGTGGCCATGGGCCATACAAGGTTCTTGGTTGAATACTTCCCACCCATCCATCCTCCCCCACCTTTCCTCTGAGATTCTGCACTCTGTTCTATGCTTCTGTCTCTCTGGATCCACTCCGTTCATCTGTTTACTGTGTTACTTAGATTACACATATGAGCGAGATCATGTGATCCCTGTCTTTCTCTGATGAAGACTTGTAAGAATTTTCTAATATCCAATGGCATGGCCTGTCAAAGACAGACTTGAGAGGGTTTATGTTTCTTTTTCCTGAGCAGCTAATGTGTTCTTACCCGCCGAGGAGAGATTCTTCTTCCTCGCATTGTTAAAATTTTGAAATATGCAAAATAGGGTGCAGGAAGTATGTTGACAACTAAACATGCACTCGTGAACACCCATAAAGCACCACCCAGGTGAAGAAATAGGACACTGACAGCCCTGAGATGTCTGTGAGACCAATTCCCTCCCCCAGCTCCCCTCAGGAGAAATAGCACTCTTTCTCACAGCTTAGAGCTGCCCGGGGGTAACTGCTGTGGAAGAAGGGGGTGAGGCACATCATTGCTGGTGTCCAAGTTGAAGTGTGGGGAAGAGGAAATTTGGGGCAGTTCTTAGGAAAGATGTGTGTGGAGTGGGTAGTTGTTGTGAGGATATAATGTATTGCAACCAAGTGGAGACAGGCTCCCCTCTGCACCTCTCTCCTGGCTCTTCCAGGATGTTCTATGACTTTCTTGCTAACAACCTTTGGTGCTGCAAATCCCTTTTCTACTGCTTCTGCATTTTCAGTGTCTGCTCCCTCGTGCCTTTTCCCATTTCTCTCTCATTTTAACTTTTCAACTTCACCTTCAACCATCAACGGCTCCATTCTCCCAGAATTCTTAAATTTTATTTATTCATTCATTCATTGAGAGAGAGAGAGAGAGAAACATCAGTTTGTTGCCCCACTATTTGTGCATTCATCGGTTGGTTCTTGTATGTGTCCTGACCAGGGGATTGAACCTGCAACCTTAGCATATAGGAAGAATGCTCTAACCAACTGAGCTAGCCCTCCAGGACTCCCAGGATTTCTCAGGACATATTTTCATAAAAGAAAATCCAACTGGTCCAGCTCAACTTTTCTCCTTCAGCCACATCATAGGTCCCTGAATAGCCAATGGTTTGACTGCATTCTGGTCAAGTGACCAACCCTATCCAATCACCACAGGGTGTTTGGAGTCATGCTCTATGAGAGATGTGGATGAAGTGGTTTTCCCCAAGGGTTGTGAGATGTCTTGTATATAACAGTCTCCCTGAACTTCCATGAAAGTCCCTTCAGCCAGAAATCCGGAGGAAATCTTTCATGCCTGACACTAAGTCCCTGGTGCCACGAATGCGTATCTGGAGGGGCTACCCAAAGGTCATCTCAACATGAAGAATAGCCCAGATTTGGAAGCAGCCCAAATGTCCATCAGTAAATGAGTGGATAAAAAAGCTGTGGTACATTGACACAACAGAATACTGCTCAGCCCTAAGAAAAAAAGAAATCTTACACTTTTCTGCAGCATGGGTAGACCCAGAGAGTATTATGCTAAGTGAAATAAGCCAGTCAAAGAAAGACAAGTACCATGATTTCACTTATATGTGGAATCTAAAGAACAAAATAAATGAACATAGTGGAGGCAGACTCATGGATACAGAGAACAGCCTGACAGTTGTCAGAGGGGAGGGGATTGGGGGCTGGTTAAGGGTGAAGGGATTAAGCAAGGGAAAAAAATAAAGACTCATGGGTGCAGACAACAGTATGGTGCCTACCAGAGAGAAGGGGGGAGGGGGGATAGAAGAGGAAAAAAGGGATAAATGGTGATGGAAGGAGACTTGACTTGGGGTTGTAAACATGCAATATGGATAACTTCCCTCTAGCGGAGAAGCTCTCTGAATCCTCAGACCCATTAGCTTTTATTTGATATATACCCTGATACTGGGAGGAGATGAACCCAACATTCCTCGTTATTATCTTTTACCTGCATAACCTCAGTAAAATATTTATGTGCAGTTAACGAACTTGCATTACCTGTAAAAGAAACATGTACCTCTCCATTGTCCTTTGTATGTATCCAATCCTACAGATTTCCCCACTTTTAAAAAATTCAACAAAGAGGGATATCACAAGCCATTGGCAACAAATTCCACTCCTGGACTTGTATAAAGGAGCTGAGAGGCAGGACTAGAATACACATTTGACCTTTAGCAAAGCAAACAGGCATATCAAAGGTAAAGTTTGGTAAACAGTAAAAGGATTAGCAGGTTAGGGCAGTGGTCAGCAAACTCATTAGTCAACAGAGCCAAATATCAACAGTATAATGACTGAAATTTCTTTTGAGAGCCAAATTTTTTAAACTTAAACTATATAGGTAGGTACCCTGTTATTAACTTAACTAGGGTACTCCTAAGCTGGCCTTTGCTAAAAATGTTCTCAATCTGATAGAGGTACGTTCACTGAGGTCGACCCCTTCCAACTCTCCCATCCACACTCGTCTTGTATACTTGTTTCGTCTATCTCCTTTTGTTCACCCTCTCTATATGTCCAAACCATCTCAACATACATACCTTCTCAATCCTCGACACATCTTCTTTCACTCCACAACATTTCCTAAAATTAACTTAATAAAGTTTACTTAAAGTTTTAAGTCTTAGTTAAACTATAGGTACGTTGAATAAAACCTGGTATCATACTTAATAACGATATTATTTATTGATAAAATTAAATTCCTTACAATTTACAATATCCATAAAATTAAAACATGACAATGACTGACAAACACTAATGTGAACAATGGCCTTGCATCTCCTTGGAAAGTTTGGGTAAGTCAGGTTTGTATGTTGTTGTTTTTAATTTTATGCACGATTCCAGGTTCTCATCAGTAAGACAACTTCTCAATTTACTCTTGATAAGGTTCATGCTTGAAAATGATTGTTCGCATAAATATGTAGACCCGAATAAGGAAAGAACAGCAAACGCTAGTTTTTTCAGTTGATTATATGAGTCAGGAATACTATTCCAGGTGTTAAAAATCAACATATCTTCCTTCTCCAGGTCTTTCAAAGCAGACCACTTGTGCTGTGAACTAAGTTCACATTTGTTTTCCTCCATTATTTCTATGTCAGCACAAAGACGTTCAAATTTCGAGCTCCACAGTTCTCTGTTTTTTAAATCCAGCAATTGCATTTCAAAGTTGCCAATGTCAATATTAAAGGGAGAAAAATGTAATTCTGTTACAGTAGCATCGAGAGGTTTTTTAACAAAGGCTAACGTCGCTTTGCTGTTTCTGAATTCCTGAAACCTGTTGAGAAAAGCTTCCCTCATATTTAAAAGTGTTGTTTTGAAATAGCAAATGTCAATATCAGAATTATTTTCTTGGCGATGTTTCAACAGGCTTGGAAAGTGAATCAAAGTTTCTCTATCAAAATCTTGAGCAAAAAGATATAATTTGTTTTCAAATGAAATAACTTCTTCTAACATCGAAAAAGCTGTGTTTCCTTTCCCCTGTAGTTTATGATTAAGCTGATTTAGATGAGACGTAACATCTACCATGAAATAAAATTTTTGGATCCACTGATCGTTTGTTAGTTCTGGATAGTGAATACCCTTCTCAAGGAGAAATGCTTTAATTTCTGTTAATAAGGAAGCAAAACGTTTCAAAACGTTTCCTCTTGATAACCAGCGTACCTTGTTAAGCAGCAGCAGATCTGCGTACTCACTCTCTATTTCAACTAAAAATTCTTTAAATTGGCGATGATTAAGAGCTTTAGCTACAATGGAGTTGATAATCTTAATCACCAATTCCATAACGTTGCAAATTTCTTCTGGAAATGTCTGCGCACAAAGCGCTTCTTGATGAATGATGCAATGGTAAGTAAGTATCTCGTGATTAATTTTTTCTTTCAAAATAGCAACAAATCCGTTTCTTACGCCGGTCATACTTTTCGACCCGTCTGTTGAAATTGAGACAATTTTATCGAGTGGAATATGATGTTTTTCAATGCACTCAATTACAGCATTTGCTATATCCTCTCCACATGTTTGACCTTTGAGTGGCAATAATCCTAAAAGTTCTTCTTTAGGACCTGTAGATGAAATAAATCGTACAAAAAGTGAAACTTGTGCTGTATCATTTATGTCACAAGACTCGCCAACTGCTATTGATAAAGCTGAAACCAATTTAAGATCTTCGACTTGCTGGTTGGTTATATTCGAAGACATTTTGACTGTTCTATCTTTCACTGTTTCAGCAGACAATGGTAACTCTTTAATTTTTTTTAGAATATCTGCTTTGTTCTTAAAATCCCGAAATAGCTCTTCGGATGCATTTATAAAACAACTTTTTATATATTCCCCATCTGTATATGGTTTTCCTCTCTTAGCAATCTCTTGACTAACCACAAAACTTGCAATATTAACATTGTTGGAAGATGGCATCCAGTAATTAAATTCAGAACTTAATTTTTCTTGACTCTTCTGAAGTTCCTCAACTGCTTTCTTCCTTGCATCACCGACAGGATATTTAATACTAAATGACACGTGTTTAGTTGTAAAGTGTCTCTCCACATTTGATTTCTTATTATGCGCCAATTTTTCCTGACAAATAAGACAGGTCGGAAGGCCATTTAAGTTTTGAATAAATGCAAAAGTCTCGGTCCATTCAACTTTAAATTCACGGTTTTCATCTTCTGTTCTTCGCTTCTTCTTTGTAGTCATGTCAAACAGGACACCTAAAAAATGTTTCACTTTATAATAAAGCCACCAACACAAAATAATTACATTCTTAAATTGATGACAAAAATACTTGTAGGATTTGCAGCTGGTTGGAAAAATACAGGTAACTTTATGCTTTGAGTAGGTACTTTTGTCACCTGCATGCAATTTGCGGACACGACTAGCACTAACCACTGCACAATGAGACTGCTGACTGGCTGGCTCACTCAACTTGTACATAAATCGCGCACGCCTCCCCTGCGCTGTGTATCCCGCAGTCCGCCTGCGCGGCGTCTCCCATCGCCTGACCGACCGACACCCACCCCTTCTTCTAATGCCACTTCTTCAAAATAAGACTTGCCCACGCTGAACACCGACCTCTGTGCATGGGCCACGGAGTTTCAATCGCACTGTACTTACGCGCCCGCACATGGTATTTTGTGGAAGAGCCACACTCAAAGGGCCAAAGAGCCGCATGTGGCTCGCAAGCCAGTTTCCTGGCCACTGCCCTAGCCGGTTTGGCTCAGTGGTTAGAGTGTTGGCCCATGGACTGAAGAGTCCTGGATTTGGTTCTAGTCGAGGGCATGTACCTCGGTTGCAAACTCAATCCCCAGTCCAGGTCAGAGTAGTGTGGGAGGCAACCAATTGATGTGTCTCTCCCTCTACCTTCCACTCCCCAAAAAAACATCAATGGAAAAATACCCTTGGGTGAGGATTAACAACAGCAAAAGCCAACCTCGTTGGTTCTGCCGACTTAGCTACAGGGAAGAGGCAAACAGAGAGCACCCCCATGTGCATGAAGGTTGCAGAAATAAGGCCCTTTCCCCTTTTCAAAAAGGAGAGGGGCATAGGAAAATCAGAGTCTCTATACGTGCAGGTCCTCAGCTGTGGAACAGGAACAAACGAGCCAGTTCACTGGGCTCCTGAGGTCTGAAGGAACAAGTGCAGAGCACTGTGCATGCTCAGAGTGGGTGCTCAGCACCTCTCATTATACCAACATCACCACAATTTAGGTCTTTTCAACTAGAAATTTGTAACATTAGAAGCTTAACATGATTATTATGGAGTTATTAAGAAGATACTTCTGTTCTTACCAAGAAGGATGGGGGCGGCTGTTGACTCCTGGAGGAACCACCTGCAGAAAGGAGTAGGGAGGGAAAGCAGTCAGCGGGGTGCAGGGCAACCATGGTCCCCCATGCATCCCTCCCCAGAGCCAGGGCCCCTCAGACTCCTGGGTGTCAAAGATCCCAGGGGGCACCATGTCCTCAGGTGAGGTCAGAGCCCAGTGCTGGACATCATGGGGACCCTAGTCTCCCTCTTCACCCAGGCCCCAGAGCGACTTGCCTATAGTCCTAAGGGGACAACACAGACAAGAACGCAAAGATCCAGGCAGGAAAAATGACTAATACATGGCCCTGAGCTGCAACAAGAGAACCCCCATCGCCTGCCTTCTGACACTGTATCTCATTGACACCTCAGTGGCTTATCCCTGGGTGTCACACTACTTGTATGACCTGCAGCACCTGACCTAAGCCCCACTGTTGAAAATGGGGATAGATTCGCCTTGCAGACAGGCTGTTGGCAGAATCCAATGAGATAAAGGTGTCCCCTTGGCTCAGCTCCAAGGTGGGTCCGATGAGCACATCCCTGCACGTGCTCTGCCCACACCTCAGGCCTGCTTTCCCACCCAGCTCCCCAAAGCATCCAGCTCTGGGCCAGGCCTGCATCACCATTCCTTGCTTCTTAACCTGGGGAAGCAGCTATACCAGAACCTTCTGAATCAGAAAAAGTTAAATGCCTGCCATCAGGATCTGGGAGGATCTGGTGAGTTCTCAAAAGTACTGAAACAGGGCAAGCACTTCCTATTTTGAGCTACTCTTTATCAAGCAGAAACCCTTAAATCCGAGTTTTGTATAGAAATATGCTGTCCACTTGAATGCACATATGCATGGCCCATGAACACAGACAATGGGGTGGTGAGGGTTTGGGGGGACGGACAGACAAGGGACAGGCTGGAGAGGATCAATGGGGAGGAAAAGGGAACAGGTGTACTGGTTAATAATGCAGATTTTGTAATCAAAACACGTAATTTCAACAGAAACATCAAAAGTGCTTTATTCAAAATAATAACCATCGCTAGTTACACATTTCTCCCGTCTTTCCGATAATTTGTGGATACTATTCTAATAGAACTTTTCTTGTTTTGAGGCAAACCATTCAGAGACCTAATTTTTCACTTCTTCATACGTTTTGCAGTGCTGCTCAGAAAGTGTGTGCCATCGATCGGAACAAGAGGTAATCTGAAGGAGCAAGGTCTGGTGAATACGGCGGGTGGTTAATACTTCCCAGGCAAGATCTTTTTTATTTTTTTTAAAATATATTTTATTGATTTTTTTACAGAGAGGAAGGGAGAGGGATAGAGAGGTAGAAACATCGATGAGAGAAAAACATCAATCAGCTGCCTCCTGCACACCTCCTACTGGGGATGTGCCTGCAACCAAGATACATGCCCTTGACCAGAATCAAACCTGGGAACTTTCAGTCCCCAGGCCAACGCTCTATCCACTGAGCCAAACAGGTTAGGGCCCAGCAAGATCTTTTAACATGTCTTTAACTGGTTTTGAAGTGTGTGATGGTGAGTCATCATGAAGCAAAATTACTTTGCCATATCTTCTGGCCCATGCTGATCGTCTTATGATCAAAGCATGGTTCAAATTGATTATTTGTTGTCGGTATTGATCAGTATTAACAGTTTCACCTTGTTTTAGAAGCTCATAATACACCACACCTTCCTGATTCCACCAAACGCAGAGCATTGTCTTCTTTCCAAAGCGATTTGGCCTTGCAGTCAATGGTTGACCTGAATCAACCCATGATTTTGTGCATTTGGGATTCTCAAAATAAATCCACTTTTCACTGCCAGTCACAATTCGATGCCAAAAAGACGTTCTTTTGTGCCGCCGAAGCAGCATTTTACTGATGACTTTTCAGGTTTTCCATTTGTCTTTCGTTCAGTTGATGTGGCATCCATTTTCCTTCCTTTAAAATCTTTCCCATTGCTTGTAAATAATCGGAAATTGTTTGCTGAGGAATGTCTAATCTTTCTCCAAGTTATTTTTGAGTTTGACACACATCTTCATCTAATAAGGCTTGTAATTGTTGGTCTTCAAACTTTTTTGGTTGACCAGGATGTTCTTTATCTTTCACATCGAAATCATCACTTTTAACACATTGTTTGCGGGTAGTTTTCATCGCGCGCTAACAGGTGGCGCAGGCCATTTTTGCTAATTTTTTTGCGCAAATGGCAACATTCAGTAAAATTACGATAACTTTAGTTTTGCATATTTTTTTTCAATGAAACTTTTTGTGATTTACTATAAAATGTATACTGAATTATTTTTCTTAAATTTTAAAGACAAATACTGGAATTGTGTGAAGGGATGACTCTACGCAGTTGAATAGATTACCGTTATACCTGGAAGTACATACATAATTCACCATTGTATGTGTTAGAGACCCAAATTTTGTCCTTTGGAATTCGTATATCTTCATGTTAGCATCCCTTTAGAGCAATAAAAAAGTATAAAAATAAACGTATTTATACGTTACCTGCATTCTACCGCTAGTCTATAAAAAACATATTAATACGTGTCCCCCACTCTACCACCAGTCAACATAAAAAGTATAAATACATTTCCCGCATACAATGTGTTAAAGCGTTTAAACCAGCATTCACAAGTATCTTGAGATGGAGCATGTTCACCATAAGCTTCCCAAAGTATACAACTTTGAGCAGCACTTTTCTGTTCAAAATAATGAATTAAAACTTCTCCCAAATGCTCTTTTTTTGGCACGAAATTCGACATTTTTAAGTGTAAAAAATCTATGTTAACACCTTCAGAAAATTTGACATAGGAAGGTTTGAAGCTTGCTGTCAATGCCAAATAGCATACGTATCAAATTGCATATATAGCAACCCATGTGTAACTCCATCTACTGAAAAAAATCCGGTTAACCAGTACACCTGTATGTAACACTTTCAACAACAAAAAAAGACAGAGACACTATCTCCCCTGCCCCCCATACCCACGTCCAGCTGGCACCTCCCTCCCTCCATGCTTTCCCAGAAATTCCCTCTCAAAGGGCACTTAGGGTGAAGAGCATCTGCCCCTCAAAAGACAATTAGGGCCTGGCCGGTGTTGCTCGGTGGTTGAGTGTCAACCTATGAACCAGGAGGTCAGTTGGATTCCTGGTCAGACACATGCCTGGGTTGTGGGCTCGATCCCCAGTAGGGGGCGCTCAGGAGGCACTGATATTTCTATCTCTCCCTCTCCCTTTTCTCTCTGAAAAAAAAAAAGTGAAAAGGTGGCATGAAAAAAAAAAAAGAAACGTATGGGGCAGTGGCGAAAAGACGGCAATGCCAATGATGAATGAATGAGAAAAATCTTCCCACTTGGGACATGGTGGTTTGGTGGGGGAGATGGGAAATGAGCTTCACAGCCGGTAGCCTGGGGTGAGCCATTGCCCAGCAGCCAAGAAGCCCAAATCCAAGGCCATAAGGCAGCGGTTCTCAACCTTGGCTGCACATTAGTCACCGGGGAATCTTTTTAAAATCCTGATTCCTAGAACCCATCCCCCGGTGTTACGGAGCGAGTTCCCCAGAGACAGACCACCGACTTCTAATTAGTTAGAGCAAGCAAGCATTTATTGATTACAGATTAGAATCTGGGCCCCTGCCGTAGCTGACACAGCAGCAGGCAATCGCCAGGCGAAGGGCGGAGGGGCAGTCCCTCCTTTTATCACCCCTCCCGACCTTGGCTGATCTGTCCTATTCCTATTGTTTGGCTACTGAACTAACAGCCCACCCCCCGGGTGAGGGCCAGGCGGAATTCCTGCTGTTTTTCAGGCTTTGCCCAGCTTCCTTCTTTCCCCAGATGCCACTCTGGCAGAATTCCTGCTGTTTTGCTAAAGCTATTCTTCTCCCTGACAGGCTTTGCTCAACTTCCTTCATTCCCCAGACGGCACCCTTATCTTGACTTGTTTTTCAAATCTGGTCTTCCCCTATGTCTGATTCAAGTTACAAGCTATGTTCAGTACTTTTCCACCCTGGCTGAGCCCTCCACCCTGCGATTTCTATCTCATTCCCCACTCCTCTTACGGGGGGGGGGGGGAATCAAACCTTTGATTCGCTCTCACTCTCCTCGTCCATAGCGCGATTTTGGTACTGGACACAGAGAGCAAGGATCTTAAGGTCCTGAGTCCTGGCTTGAATCATGTTAGCTATCGACCTAAAAATGCAGGGGGCTATAGTTAACATTAGTATAAGTCCAAGTAGTAGCCCCAAAAGGGGAAGTAGATAGGGGAGGAGTCCGTTGAAGCTGCTCCATAAGGGGTTGTCAGACAGTTCTTTCCTCCTCTTGACTAGATCCTCCTGGAGCTTCTTGATCTTGTCTCGGACGATTCCCGATTTGTTGGCATAGAAGCAGCAGCGTTCCTGGAGGGCTAAGCAGATCCCTCCCTGCTCTGCAGTGAGTAAGTCGAGCCCCCTCCGGTTCTGGAGGACAACTTCAGGTAGAGAGTCTATTTGGTCTTGGAGGTCATTTATAGTTCCTGAGAGGGCTTGATCATCAATTAACTGATTGGAAAGCTTGGTATAGGCGTGTACAGCTACTCCTGGTCCTGCAGAGCCCGATGCCACAGCACCCGAAACTCCTAGTCCTAAGAGTAGGGGAATAAATTGGATAGCCCTTTTACTGCGTCCTGCTATGTAATCAAGACTAGGAAGGGGAACGGGCTCTTCTCCTGGGATAATGTCTATATCAGGGAGGATAATAGCCTGTATGCATAATCCTGTCCAGTTGACAGGTAGGGCTGTGAAGGCCAGGCTACCCCCGCAAACAAAAACCTGCCCAGGGGCTGGGCAGAGGGGTGTGGAGTGGTTTGAGACCTGGGTGCACTCGGAGAAAGTCTGATACCCTACATCTAAGTCATAGCTATTGTTCTGGAACAGCCCCCTAAAACATAGGGAGGTATTAAACCTTACGGGCTGTATTCTGAAGGGAAGGGTGAGGCTGCAGCTTCCAGCCTCCTGTATGGAAGAATTCCCGGTGGGGAGGGCAAGGGGCATGGCTGTCCCAAGAGTCATACATAGCCAACAGTCTGCGGCCAGAGACGGGTTAGAGCCATTTAGAGCTCTAAGGGTAGCCTCTAAGATGTCGGAGGTCTGGGCATCTAGATCGATGTCCCTGGGCTTGCGGAGAGCCAGAGGATGGTAACGGAGGGGTGGGTACAAGGAGTGAATCATCTT